GAGTGGACACTACAATAGATCTAGGAATCTGTTTTAATTGACCCTATTAAAGTAACAAGGGCACGGTCTATCACTTTGAAGAGCTGCTAGGTAAAACCGAAGCTTACTATATCTTGTATCTCTCCACTGCTTTGTCATCTTGGCACAAAAAAAAACAAGATATTTTAAAACATACCCAGTCTTTAAGGGGTTACTGCCGTTCAGATGACGGCAATAAAGGGGCTACCACACAAAGCTGGAGATGCTAAACTGTAACAAGACAAGTCTGCTTAAACCACATTTTATCTATTTTATAACTGGTATCACAAAATTAACTAAAAGTATCATTCACAGCTTTATACAAGCCAAACTATCTGGAACCTGAAAACAAGCAACAATACTACTAGTTTATCTAATAGAGTCCTTGAAAGAAACACAGAATTTTAAACAAAAGTCATCTCTCAACAAACATGGACAGAAATCCACAGACAAGATTGTTGCTTTCCTGCCGACTGCTATGCAGTCTATCTATCCCACTGCACAACTGCAGAAACAGGACATTATTATTTTGCACAAAATTATACCGCCTCTGTATTTCCTATTCACTGTTTACACTCCTCAGGCTTTTATTTGCTACATTCACAGAACCTCTGCATTCATTATTTCTATACACTCACAACCATTTGTTTCAAGACAAACCAGTCAAAGAAGCCTCTCTAAACTGGATCCAAGGAGCCTTTCCTACAGTGCCTTTGGAGTTCAGGACCTCAATGAGACCACATTAAGAGAGACCAAAACCTTGAAACTTACAAAACCCACTGAAAATATTAGTGCAAAAGGTCAAAACCAAATTGCAGTAACAGAACCCAAAGTACAAACTGAACCAGAGAGAAGAATAAAACCACGATATTTCCTTAAAGAAACATGGCATATCAAGGATCTTCAGTCTCAGCATTTCGAAGGAAAATCTCTTGTGCCTAGTTCAACTCAGATAATGATCTTATCCATTAACATTTAACCAGACTATTTCTATAATACTGTTATGGTCAGTTAGAATTTGTGTTATCTGCCATTTTCCTACAATACTGTCTATAGACATTTTACAGGGACATGTTTATCTGTAATTTAGTTGGGAAGGCATCCTTTCAACTAGAATCATTCTAGTTTTCTTCTAACAATAATATATTTTGAGCCAGACAAGGAGTTCTACACAAGTGTATCTTTGCAACAACAGAATGACATAAGGCTGAAAAAATTCATTTTAATCCACGAAGGAAATTATATCAAGATATCAGTTTCAGCCAAACCCTGTGTTTTTAAGTTAGGAAGAGTTATGAGCAAGAAATACAATTTTCTGCAAGATCAAGGTTTTCTCTCTTTTGTACCATCAATTCAAATCCGAACTGCAGTGGTGCAGTAAGCAACAGCTTTATTGGAGCATTTGTGCAGTGAGAAGTCTATGACGGCTTTCACACTGTTGGTTAAATTTCAGGGAGACTTTTAAATCAATATGAACACATTAAATAGCATTACTATTAGGCAAAGAATTCTAAACCAAAGATTTTAAATGCCAAGTTTATTGAGTTACAAACCTCTAACAGAACACAGGAATACTATTCTATACTGAGAGTGACCATGACTTATTCAGTTACACAAGTATCTACTCAGAACTTTCCAAAAGAAAAATACTGCACAGTCACAAAGCAAATTATTTAATGAACATAGGGGTGCAACTGCTTCAAAAAAAGGATATTCAAACACCACTCACATTAACAATAAAAAACATGCAGGAATATATACTCTTCTGGGAATTGCAAAAAATAGACTAAAATATTACTGAAAAACATCGCACCCCTTGCTCCGTTCAGAAAAGCTTCTGACAACTGCCTTAACCTCACACTATCATATCAAAACACACTGATGTACATGAAGTCAACCTGGAAATTCTCCAAGAAAAAAGCAAGAGGTCAAGCTTAACATGTTGGTTTTCTACTAGTTCCGAACTATAGCCACATCAGACAAAACCAGAAACATTCTGACCTTTCCTACTGCGTTTACAAGTATGCCACATTTACACCCCAGGCAGCAGCATGAAATGTAATTCAGGCTTTCACTGTATGTTTGTGTTTCTGTGAAAGAAAAGCATTCAGTTGCAGAACCAAAACATGTTCAAGCTCTCCTCTTACATTTCCTCATATACAAAAACAAGAGTTCTGGAGAATTTCACACTCCCACAGCAACTCCTGTGCTCCTTGGGTATCACACAAGATCCTTAGGATTTTTCTTAATCTTTTTCTCCTTCCTATTTCTAACTACTGGAGCTCAAGAATCACTCCTGAAGCAGCTCCCTCAATAAGGAATTTAAAAGTGCAATTATGTGATAACACTGCATGTGTTGGTGCTATGAAACAGATATATGCAAAAGCAGTCTACTCAGCGAGTTCCTTGCACTTCTTAAGGAACCTTGAACATCAGAGGGAAATTTTAACAAAGACCCTGTCTCCTGGATCGGGGACTCCTTTCATGTTTCCATATTTATAGTACATCTTCAACATCTTTTTTCAGAGACAGCATCAGTGTATTTCCTCCACTTTACTATATACCCTCTTTTCTACTTTCATTTTTCAGAATCATCTCAATCATCACCTTTTTTGTAATTTTAAAAGCACTTGAACAATTTTGTCATTGAACTATAATTCACAGACGTTTTAGTAGCTTGTTTTCCATTCATGAAACAGTCTTTAATTCCACGTTTGATTTTCAAGTATTTTTAAATCTTTTACTTTTCACCATGAGCAGATGGTCCTGGTACATCTTACAAACTTAATTAAATAAACCTCCTTGCCATTGGCAAAAAAAGAAATATCCTTCTATGCTACTATGCAGGTTACTAGGAAGGCTTAAACAAAGCCTGAACATTTTCAAAAAGGAAAATAATTTTAGCTTACTTATGGCTGTGATTACGTTCTTGTGAGTGTAAGCATAATGTAAAGATGTAGTATTATTTTCCTTAAGCTGTATATATCCTTGTTCTCCTTAAGGCCAAGTATCAGCCAGCAATGACAGAGCTGGCAATAAGCTCTGGAAGGTAGAGATTAATAGAAATTTTCTCCTTTGGTTTCTCAGTGATGACAGATCTGCACAGCATATTCATTATTCCAATCTAAGACAGAGTAACTTGTATGTAATCTGCAACTCTACTATACATCACACACCATATGTGACAACTGATCTGCTGTCTTCCTCCTTTCTTCTTCATTCAGCCAACATACCTAGCTCTGAAAAGAAACATACTTCCATAAGCATAACCTGCTCAGTCCCTAACCAGTAGGATTAATCAAGACTGTTACTACAGAGCTGCTGATACCCATCAAGGTTGCAGAAATACAGACCTCATCAGCAAGATGTTAACTCCAAAATTACTGTTGGGTTTAAACCTCCCTACTACAACATTTTTGGGAAACAAACACCTCTGGGTATAATATATTTGCCTTATTTTTTCTGTCATTTCTAAAGAATTTAGGGTACTGTTTTAGGTATTCTATTGAAAAATGAACTCCTGACTTCCCCTTACCTTCCTAGGCTTACATTTCTGAATCACTTTCTAGCCTAACTCAATATATGTTTAGTGACTGCACATATCTCACTCCATTATTCTAATAAAACTCTTCCACAGTAACATCCTACTAAACACTATATCAAAGAGGCAACAATTAATTTGAACTTTTCATGGCAGCATATGAGACAAAAATATTTTCGGTGCATTTTTAACACCTTGATTCAGACTATGCTGTACCAGTAACAGATCTGAGAATTTCATAATACTAGTTTCATACAGAAAGTAAAATTAATTTTAAAATATTATCACTTTAGTACAAGCAAATAAAACTAGCAAAACCAGAAATCTTCATAATTATAATGTTACAGGATGGTTATTGCAGCAAGAAACAAGGATACCTGGAAATTCAAACTGAAGTTTAGAGCAGGACACAGAGCTGCACTGCAACAGGGAAGTACCAAGAAGGAAAGTTTGTTTCAAGTGGAAACAAACTCCCACAGGTCAGCTTTATACCTTTCTACGCTACCAGCTTTAAAAACATTGACTATTGGCAAGGGCTGCTAGTTTGGGTATTATAGAGAAGTTATGCCTGCCTTTCTTCCAAAGCATGTTATGTTTCCGGAGGAAAAGGGGGGTGGGGGTAAAAGTCTTTATTTCACCCCCTAACAGGCCAGTACTGTATGTAGCTTTTCAGTAGACTGCCTCATCAACTCATCCATTATTCTCTGCACCACTGTATAAGGAAGTTATACACTTTGATCCCTAAAACTGCATAAAAAATAGAATATTGGGGCTTTTTTTTCAAGTTAGGTGTTAAAGTGATTAAAAAGTTCAAATAATTATGCTTTAATACCTGAAAGCTGATTGCATTTTACAATACAAGATTTATGAACCAACCAATCCTGGATGATATACTATACTTTCTCTTTAAATTTATAGTCTTCGTCATCTATTTTCCATTCTCTCAGACAATTTTTATATCTGTTATTTAGAACAAATACATCCATCAATTTCCTGAAATTAACAGTACAACTGCTGTTGAAGAAAGTGTAAGCTCATGCAAAACAAAACAAAACTCACCAATAACCCCCTACCCTCAAAGTAACCAGAAAAAAAAAAAAAAAAAAAAATTCACACCTGGTATTATCCCAGTTTTATAAAGAACTCTTTCCCTAAATTATTTGCTTCATGGACACTGAGCTGAAAGCGACTACAAAATAACCAGTGAACATTCAGCTTTCCAGATTGATATTATTCTTAGCAGTACTACTTTATACTAAAACAATGTTTTGCAATTTTTAAGAAAGCCTTTAACAACATTAAAACAAGACATTTAGGCATCTGATGATTAAACATTTAAATTTGAAGCATTAACCTAAATACCCTACAGCATTTCTAAGAACTTCACTGAGCTGCCATAATTTCTGTCAGCGTATGTAGTACTGAATGACTAGTAAAATACCTGAATTGAAACTATTCCAGTCTAGCAGTTTGTATGATCTTGTGTTACCCATAATTCCGACAAAGGCTGAGTTCAAAACAGCAAATTAGTAGATCAGTTATAGGAGCAGAATAGTGAAAAAAAACTACCAACAAGAACACAATTGACAACACCACTCCACAGGAACTGGAAAGACACAGACAGCAGAGTTAATAAGAGGCTGAAATAGAAAGGGAAAAAAGGAGCATGCTATAGCAATCTAGCAGTAGGCGTGATCAAAGTGTACAGTATATAGCAGTTATTGTCTTATCAATACTTCTCGATCCACCTTCAAAAGTTCTTTCCTTTGCTACATTTTCCTGTTTGCCAGTTCGTTTCCTTTACCATTTTACAGAATTATTTGACTTAATATTTCATCACAGCATCAGAATTCCTTTTTTCTACTTCTTCACCTTCCCTCCCACAGCCATGTGCCTTCATTTCCCCTTTTGTTTTCATTGTTTTGCAATATACTGAGTTCAAAGTATCATGCATCTTACATTCACTTGTCAGGAGCAATCTACAAGTCCCGCAAAAACACTGCAAGGAGCCACTTAGTTGTGCAAATATGCATCTCTACCTTCTCTTATTTCTTATCCTGCCTTCAGTCAGTTGGTAAAAATAAAGAAGTGCATAATGCAAGAAATTAGTTTTTAAAATGTCTGAGCAAAACTGATTTGACATAAATAAGTTTACCACACAGTAAATTTTGCACATAAATAACCCGTATCAGAAATCTGTCGAAAATACAGAAGCCTAAGGCAATTTTGTGGCAAAGACAGGGAAGACTCGCATATAATTTATACTTTGACATTCCTTTTAATCTTCTCTCCAGACTGTGGAAATAGATCTTAAAAATCAGGGGGAAGGAGGAGGGGAAGAACAATACCGTGTACTCATATGCTTTAAAAAAAAACCCTTAAAGTAGGTTTTTTAATTCACATTAAATCTCAGACTTTATTTCATGTTGCCAGTTTACTGGATCTTTAAATCAACAAAAATCTACCTGCTTGCAAGATTACTTGCCTTGGGCCACAGGAAGAAGAAATAAAATGAAAAATAATTAAAAAAAATATATTTGTTTGTTTGTTTCGATTGCTTTTAAAGATGCATTTGCACAAACTTTATTACTCCTGACTAGTGCATGCAAAACCACTACAGGTGCTATTTTTTACTCTGCATTTTTGAGTGCAGCGTTAATTCCAACCTTTTACAGAGTATTCCTTGGCTTGTCTCAGCAAACATAACAACAAGGTCTTCAAAGTCAAGTCACTTAATTCTGCTGTCAGAACTAGGACATGCAAAATATACATGCTCCAGTACTGGAGTTCCAAGTAAATATTAAATAAAAATCTCAAAATACTATTCAGTATATGCTTCTAAGAACAGAAACAAAGCTGTAAAGGTTTTATAAAAAGAGATTAAAAACACATTCAGCTTAATTTTAGTCATTAATCCTTAAGAATTTCAAGGACCTGAAAATCAGCAAACATTCATAGTTAAGATTTAGTATTTCATCTTACTTGTGTTTGAATGGAAACCTGCTGTTTAATATTAAAACTTGATGCAAAAAAAATATTAAACCTTCAGTAATTCAAAGACTGTTTTTAGTGCAAAGTTACTGGATTCAAAGTTCGTCATTATTTCATTAACTCGAAATATCTCACTGAAAACATACCCTCTGAGTGACTATTATTTTTCAAGCTTAAACTGTCTGAAAAATATTGCTTTTCAATATACATTGTTCAAATACATTTTAGATATAGATAAAGTACATGATCATTACGACTGGAACTTGGGCAAGGAAGTTATTCTTGTGTTAACATACCAGGATTGTGAATGCGATCCAGGAGCTTCACAGACCGTGCACTGACAACACCACCAACGTGGACAAGAAAGCCTGGTGGAAAGGTCGTCAAGGTAAAAAATGGAAATTCCTGTTATGATTAAAAACAAACATCAAATGACTGCTTACCAACCACTGCAGATTGCCAACAAACATGCAGTGAATTGATAACTTCCCTGAAATACAAGCAAAGCAGTTACATTATGCCAAATGTCCTTCAGGCTTACTAAGCGCTATGTAACCATATGTCTTCACGTACCCACAGTATAATAAAAGCAGAGATATTATACACTGTAAAAATACTTTTCCCCCATAGAGTTGTATCTAGCACAATATTAACAAATAATCAAAACTTTACACATTTTGTTAGCAAAGCCTCTATTGGTCCACTTTTAGGATGGCAGCTAAACAACATAATTCTACTTTCATTAACTAATACAAAACAAAGAAACATTGTTCTCAATTTTTTAGGTCTCATTGTTACAACTGACTGCAGCTTGATTCTGAAGCACAGAATAGAACAAACTGTTGTCTTGCAAGAATGATGTCTTATTACAGGAAAACATACCTGCTCTGCTGCTGTCCAAACTTTAAATTTAACAAGTAAATATCTAACTTCTGGAATAAAGCATAAGTCTTCAAAATACAATTAAGTTCTTAAACTAAGGAAATATACTTTCAATTCATTTGCATAAATTAGTTTTTACTAATTCATAATTAAAATGAAAAACTAAGAAGTTTCAGCAACTACTCAAAAATGTAGTTCGTACAAGAGGCAAAGTAATTTTTCATGACACACATGATGAAATAAAACAGACATATTCGAAAGAGTTGAGCCTGAAACTCAAAGATTTAATTTTCTACAGGGACCTTCTATGGAAGGTCTAATAAACACACTCATGGGGGAAAGGTAATAGATCTATGTTCAGCAATTCTAAATGCACAGAGGCAAAAAAAGAAAAATCAAAGTCATGCAATCATTGTTTGTATAGTCTTTGCAATTGGTCAAAAGGAAAAAATAAGCACCATAATTTCATATGGGAGAAAGTATAGTATAGATTTCTTTCTCACATACTTGAAGCACTTGCAACAGTACAGTTCAGTTGAGCTTCTACCTAAACAGTATACATGCTGCAGATTAAATGAGAATCACTGTTCTTCCAGCAATACATGGCATGAAAAGTCCTCTTAAACTAAAGTCCAGTGTAGATTTCAAAAAATCAATACTTCAGAATTCTTACTATTAGAACTCATGTAACTTTTAAGAGGTCCTACAGATCTCAAGTTTGAAAATGCAGCACAGCTGCACTTTGTTAGAACCCTCTTTCACTGCGGCTCTGTAATACAATCTGTTCAGTGATTCACAAGTATACTGATAACACTTGTGCCTGTGTAATTCCATGACACTCATTCTGCCTAACTTATGTTTAAATATATAACATACATGTTTGCTGTCCCTTGAATATAGTTATTCTACACTGATATTAAAAATAAAAACCTTTCCCAGAACTACAGAAATCAATAAAAATTCTACTGCATATGCCACCTACATAAATTCCATTAAGCCTGTATTTTATAGATACATGTACACTCACACTTACATTGTGCTAAAGCAGTACATAGTGAACAAAGTCAACAACCGTGCTCTAAAGCACAAGCAAATCTGATGCTTTTTAATCTATATAGAGATTCAAAAGTTACTTTCATTTTGTTCATTTTCATAAGGCTGTGTAGTGCAAGTAATTTTAATATGTTCAGACTTCCACTCTGCCTGATTTCCTACGCTACAAACTGGAATAAAATTTTAAGGTAATAACACGGTTTTATTTCAATCAACATATTGATAATTGTAAATCTGTTATGATACATGCTAAAATCAGACCTCTGACCTATCAGTCAATTCCAGCCACAGACAACTCTGGGTAACTGACTCACTGAACCATTCTGACACGCTCTGATTCCATTAACAATGTCTCATTCATTCTGATGCAGATCATCATAATATGGTTTTTTCCTTTTTTCTTTTTTAAGCTCATTTGGAGGCTTTGGGGGTTTTATTATTATTCTATTACTCAAACACAAGTTCCAGCCTCAATTGCATGTGGTAATCTGTAATACTTCAAAATCATAAAGCTATACTTACATGGAAAACAAAGATTCCTAGAAGCCAAATGCAGTGTTTAAGCATTACAAATCTCCCGTATTACTGCAATTTGCAAAAGACTATCTTTACATCATGGTGATGCAAGAACAGAGTATTTCTGTGTGCCAGAAGACACAATGATCCTAAAGTTTCCAAGCTACTATGGTTGGTCATTTTAATACCAATTCACTATGCCATGTCAATCACTGACTGCACTGACCCTTAAAGAATTGTCACTGGTTTAATCCTTGCAACTACGTAGATTTTACAAGCAGCATTTGGAGAAAGTCTGATAAGGTTACGATAAAATCCTCATAAATATTTGTTTAGTACAGTGTTTAAAAAAATTTGTGCATACGCATACATGTATTGCTAGTATTATTTTTTTAACTTCATTACATACAAAGTCACACAAAATAATGAAAAAGCACATGGAACAAGGCTACACACACACATAACATTTGGTGTTAGTGGCAGCGGAAGCAATTCTCATGTTCCCTTCCAGCCATTCACTCATTCCCATCGTTGTACCACTCCCTCAGGTAATGCTCAAAATGCTTAGGTATGTTCATAAAGCTTTCTAGGCTGAACCAGAATAAGGAACTGGTCCATTGTTAATTTCCTGGTTGAATTATTTTTATTCTAAGCACATTTACTGTGCCATCTCACAAGGTGGTCAAACAATCTTACAATTTTTCTTCAACTGAACTGAGGGGATGGGCTGGAAAGAACATTGCTTAAGTCAGCATTTCAGCCAAAAGAGCAACACAGAGAACTGCACTCAACACAAGAGTTATCTGACAATGCTCTTCAGGTGAAGATCAACAGATCTCCATTTTGAAAAAGCAGCAGTAAAGATCTCTCAAGCACTTGCAGAATGCAGATGTGGAGGAATAAAAATTGTCCAAGTTGAGATCAACAGACACATAAAACACCACCAAGAGCAGCATTTGCCCATTTCTACCAAAACACAGGATAATTTTTGTATGAGTAAAGTAAGCTCATTTCCCACTGATGGAAATATAGCATATACATTTATAGATAAAAATATACACAAAGATAGCTGCGCTATCATTACACTTGCTATCAACAGGCATCCTGAGTATTGCTAAAAATATAGTAATGTACAACATAAGATGTTTGTGAGTTTTCCACAGCTAATGTATTTTTCCAGAAGAAATCAAGTAATATTACCCTTCCAACAAAATCTGTTCTGGTCTGCAATTAGGGTTATTTAAGTAACACATTAAAACCACATCTGATTAAACAATACCACATACCCAAATAAACTCAACTGAGACTCAAAAGAACTTAATGCATGTCAAAATACATATTTAATTTATGCCTTTTTTTCCCCCAAATGAGTGCTACCCAAACCCAGGCAAGTAATTACACTGCACTTACTATTTATGCGCATGGTACTAAATGAGACAAAATAACTTGGGTTATTCATTCTAGTTAAGTAATTCAACCTTAAGGTAACCATATGAGTTAATCGTAGCAAAAAAAAAAAAAACCACCCAGTAAGTTTTCAGAAAGCCAGTATGAACACGTTTAATCCATTAACAGTCCATATGCTTTGCTACATCATCATCAATAACTGACTCAGTAGGTTTCCTTCCCATTTTACAGCATTTTTTTCCTACTAGACAATATACAGCCCTTATCAAAACAACGTGCAAACAATTCAAGCTGTAAAAGTACAGTAAGTGCTCTTTATTTATAAATTGTTTTTAAAAAGCTTCCTAAGGAAATAACAGATCAGCCATGAAATGCCTGAAATGGTAGCAAAAATCAAAGGTAAACAGAGAAAAGCCTCTTTTTTAAAGCAGTTTTTTCAAACTAAAACATTTAAAAGCAGAAAGCCATGGATTTGTATTTAAACTGAAAATTTAACCAAAATGTATCAGCATGCAAAACAGTAACTAAGGAAAAATATGCCGATCTGATAAATGTTCCCCAAAACAACAGAATATGAAAGAATCTTGCATAAACAAGTTTACAGAGAAATCTGCAAAACTTGGGGGGGTGGGGGGGGAGGGTCAAATAATTGTTTAGAAATCCTCAAGACAAGAAAAAAGGGCTACAAAGAGTCACGCAATGTTTTGGAACATACCCGCCTTCTACAGAACCTATGAGGCGATCCTCCCTTAGCAACGGGTAACACAAAAAATGAGAAGAGAATCATCCACTTAAAATAGTAGCTATTCACTTACATTTCACAGATGCAGCTGACCTTGTTTTCAACAAACATACATGTTTCTACGCAAGTAGTTCAGGTAGTCAGAAATTATAAACTAGAATTTATTTCTGAATAGCAAAACAGTCACATTTCTTCCTTCAAGAATATAACACCACTAACAACATTTTGACAAAAGCAGCATATAAAGTTGCAAGGACTCATTCCAAATTTAAATAAAAAATGAAAACCACTTTTTTTATTACATAGTCTATTCAGCACAATAACAGATGGCATTTTTAGTCTAATAGAGGTTCTTCAAAAAGCTGTAAATCTATAAAGCCCTTTTATTGCTTGGAAAGTGATTCAGGTTTGTTTACTATTTTTAAAGGCTACACACACCATTTCATGTAATAGAACTGAGGCTATATTATGCATCAACTCCACCTTTCAAACTAAAAATTTTTGCAATTATAGATGTGATATTCACATTGTTTAAATCTATTGCAAGATTTGGCTTCTGTAAAAACTAAAACTAAATACATAACAGTGAAATATTAAACTTGCACATGCATTAGTAACTTACAGAGACTAAATAGTAATTTTTGCAATAACTGCTTCTTCCAGCACCAGTACTGTGGACATTTCAGTTACTTGCTCCACTTTTATTAATGCTTTAGCAATATGTTAAAATTTAAATAATTTGTGTATAAAAGGGCTATTAAATGTTCAACATTAGCAATAAATTCTCAGACTTAAAAATTACACATAATTTTAAACAGAAACAGGAAACATTTAACTTACTACAACCTAAATTTTCACTTTAGTAGATCAGAAACAGAAGTAGAAAATGCCTTACCCTTTGTTCCAGAGCTGACTGAGTCTGTTGCCTTAAAAGAGTTTTAAATGGCCCCCCTTCTTTTCCAGCACTCCCACTGCCCATTCCTGAAGAGTATTAGTACAAATGACATTCAAAGAAATATATATTATTATTTGTAATAAAACTTTTAATTAAAAATATATAAAATAGTCACTGAGAACAGTCAAATTATCCCCATAATTTTAATTATCATGAAAAATAAATGCTGAGCATCATAGTTTAATTTGGGGTTGGGGGTGTTCTGGGGGTTAGTTTTCACATGACTAGCAGCAATTTTTTAGCATTTGGACAAACCCCCGCTGATCCAAGATCTTTTTCTGCTGTCAACCTGAATTAAAAAAAAAAAAAAACAAAACCAAACAAAACTTAAAAATATAAAAACTTATCTGGGCTTGCAATTCTTTCCTGTATCACACAAATGTTTTTTTTTTTCTTGAGATTTTTGCATATGATTTCAATACAGATGTGCCTTCTCTGCTTTTCACAAGAAGTTTTTACATAATTAGATTTTGAACCCTTATCAAAAAGGGCTGCAAAAATCACCATTAATTCCACACTGTTGAATAATGCCTCTCTGCCAGATTAATCTGTCGTCAAGTATCTCTCTACTATCATACAGTAAAAGAAAAAACAAACAAAAAAAAAACAGTAATCAAAATCTGGCTGAGAGTTTCAGAGAAACCAAAACAACTTTCCTAATCACTGGAAGGAGACTGTACTCATATATACAGCAGTTGCTGTATAACACATGACTGGGATCAAAAACAAAATTGCAAAGGCAGTGTACATCCTTCGACTTCAAATATAAACCCTGGAAAAATTACCAATTATTTTTATTTTCTTTAAAATCTATGTATTGAAATAGTCACTCATTTGATCCATTCAAATGAGTTAAGGACTACTGCTCAGCATTTAAAACTGCCACACTTTGATTACTGCATTTGCACACACATAACCTGCAGATTATCCACAAATTGAAATAAGAAATAAACTCCAATTTTGTATATCATGGGCAATTATCTCTATTCTTCTTTCATACATTTTACTCTCACCCCTACAGTACAGGAGCTTTTCTGAAGAGATGGGAAGTTTATGATACACACAAGTATCCTTGCTACTGAATCACCTGTTATCAAGGAACTGCACTCTTAAGTATAGTTCCTTTGGAGTGCTGAGATACGGGTTATATGTATGACAGTAAGTTATTTGCTCTATGGTAGAAATCATAAAATTAAAAACTAAACACATACCAAGATCGTGTTTTTCCTAAAGTAAACACAATGCTGGTGAATCAGGTTTTCTTGGTACTATTTCATGCCTAAAAACAGACTATCACTTCTTCTATCTAAACCCATCCATGCTAGCTTGACAAAGCAAAAATAAACACCTAAGTTGCATAGGAAAGCACAGGATAAAGAACAAAAAAGTGTCAAAGCAGAATGAATTAAAACACCACAGTGCAAACAGTTATGAATGTAGCATAGATTTTCTTTTCTTTTACAGAATTTATAACTAATTTAACATAACAATTCCTTGCTAGTTTCCTTTTCCTTCTGATCAAGCATTTAATAAACGTATATGAGACTGTCCATATACATCAGAATGCAGTTATTTCTCTTAACCAAAGACTGGGAGATCTGGAAACAATACGAGACTTAGTAATGTATGTTAATTCATTCGTAACTTTTTAAAAAATTACTAGGCTACCATTACCATATACTCATATGTAAAAATACTACAATTTTCAACAAATATTTTTAGCTGTTCTTGGATAAGGAAACAAAAAATATTAGTAGCTGTATAGTCCCATCAAAAAAGATTAAATTGCTGTTACTATTTGACATTGATTCTAAACATCATTGTCAGGGACTATACAATTTAAAGACAGACAAACACAGCATAGATACTGGACATAAAACAAACTCAAAAAATACAAACTGATAAAAATAAATTTCTACAGAAAAAAGCAGTAATATCAACTATTTAATTTAAATCTATGAAAATAATGCATGTCAGTGAAATGGAAAAGGAGGCAGTACAAATAAAAAGTTTGGACGGGCTTTATTTAAAAAAATTAATTTAAAGAGCAAAGTTGCTAGCTACCTGATAGCTATTATTTCAATAAAGAATGAATGAATGAATGAGCAAGTACTTGTTCCATGCAAAATATAGGAACAACAAAGTGAAGAGAATGAGAGAATGTTAAAAATGGCAATTATTTTAGTCCAATTACCAAAGAGAATTCTTCAAGGATAAAGGAGAAAAGTCTGTAGTATAAACTATGTATGTTTCAAATCCTGTAAGAAGCTCTGAAGCTACTTCAAGCTTTTGGGGCAGAGGTGAGAGATGGTATGAATAGTCATGTAGCCAGCAGTTTTTAGAGGCTAACTGAAAAAAAACACAGGGTTATAGAAGGCTCTGTGTTAAATGCCCCTATATCAAGTAACAACAACATTTTCTTAAAGGTTTGTTTAAAAGGCCATAATAGATTGATCCTACCAGAAGCAGCCAGAAGTAGCTCTTCAGTGAAAGAAACACTTTTCCTCAGAACAACTGGGCTGACATGGCTAGAGTGTAGAGGGTTAACGCTAGACCCCGAGAGGAGACAGGACTTTTTAAGATGTGGGGAATCACAAGAGAGTGTAGGGGAGCTGGGAAACAGGAAAATCCTAGGTCCCTGTGGGGAAGGTGCTGTGGAGGAAAGTAATAGAGACAAAGAGATGTAGGTTCAGAAGATGACTAAAGAAACAGATGAAAGAAATCAAAATGAAGCTTTTTTTTCTCAAAATGAACTAGCACTTACTGCTAAATTATTTCTCAACATATAAAGAAATGGAATGACAATACAGCTTGACAATGTGAATAAGAAGCATGTTTTTTAAAGCATGACCTAATTACCTTTATTTTTTAATTTTTTTTTAAAGCTATGGTAATCTAATACATATTTCAAATTTCATACAAAATTTGATAATAAAATACCATGGAGTAAGGGCTAAATAACAGTGTCTTCTCATACACTTAATCTGATTAATTATTTAGGTATAAAAAGTTAATTTTTCAGAAGTCATGGATTTGTTTTATGACTTTTAAAAGTCACATATCTTGTAGAATTGTAAGTTCCCATTAAGAAAAGGAGTTCCCACCTTCTCAATTTCCTCCATACATATACTATGTCACATCAAAATGTATTACCTGATTTAAAATGTCATGCTTTTTGTCAGCCTGATACTCCCCTAGTCTGCAGTGGCATAAAATAAATCACCCCACTGAAGAAATCTAACTTCAAACATAAACAAGCTTTCTCAGCACAAAATAAACTCCCCTCATATTCAGGCCAGATATAGACCAAAATGGGTGAGAGAATCACAATTCTATTTTATAAAAGACATTAAGGTAATAGTCTCCTCATCTGGAGCTACTGAAAAGTAGATGCTTATGCAGATGCAAGTTTCAGACTCCTCTATTTAGTTATTCATATTGTGGTATCTGGACTCTTTTTCCAGGTTAGTCTCCATCTCAAAAACATGAACACACTAGCTACCTGGCAGAAATAAGGAGGGTCATAATGTACATCAGAAAACACTTCACTTCTCACATCAGCCATTCTGGGTAATGGGTACCACGAATCTGATAATATTTACTGTGTCATATGACATGTTTGCATTTATTATGGTTTTTAAACACTTACATCACCAACTTTCACACTGAAATATTCCAACCCAGCAATGGTCTTAGGAAATTAAAACAGAGGCCCAAACATATACAGTGAATTGTTAAAAAACAACATACTGATTTTAGCATGTTACAGAGTTATCTTCTGCACATCACCGAATTTTTGGTAAAACATAAACAAAACAACTCAAGACACACTGTCCTTTTAAGCTAGTAAGATCTACAATCTAGTATGTCACACCAAGATACAGAATTTTTAAATGCAACCAGCAAATCCTCTTCAGGTAAGCCTCAGTAGCATAGTTAAAAGCTGCTAAAATGACAGTGCTAGTAAGCAAAAGTATGTAGCCACTGTTAGCTTTAATGCTAAAAAGACAGCAAAAATAAAAATCCTTATATACTTGAAAAATCCCTAAAAATAAGAGGTACAAAATACACAATCTGTTTCAGTTCTGAACAAACAGACTCGAGATGAAAAGGCCAAGGGCCCCATCCACCTATGTAACAGTGCCAGGAATGATACAAGGTTGCTGCTTTAAAAATTTGACAAATTCACAGTGAGCTGCCACCTCCACAAATCCAGAACATTTACTGTAGCTATAAAGATGACCACCTATGTTGCATTTAAATTCTTTACATGACATGATCCTTACAAAGGAAAAACTGATTAAAAGAAGCCAGTTTTTAAATATTCAATAAGCCAAACACATGAATTTATGGTTCTCCTATGTAATAAGAACCCACTTATATTTGTAGAGTCCTTTATACAAGTGACCATGTCAGATTACCTGAAAAACAGTCAAAAAAACAAAAACAAAACCGCTTTCGTTTGGGTTTTTTTAATACAGGACAGAGAAGATAGTACTAAGAAAGGCAGCCTTGTAAGTGGGAACATTTTAAAACAGGTGTCTGGGGGGGGAAATGGGTAAAATATTTAATATAGCTGCATTTGAATGCAACATTTTACTTATCTACTTGGAAAAATTCTTGCAAGGGGTGCTCAAGTAAAGCTGAATCAACTACTTTAATATGCTTTAAACCTCTCTAATTAGATGGAGACAAGAATGTTCTGAGCTTCAAATACCACAGTTTAAAACCCCATTTAAAAAGCAACTTCTATGAACAATTCTGCAAAATATTTTGCCCTACAGTAACAAAACTACAGGCACTGGTCACATAATGGAAAATAGACAATAATTCTTTGAGTTGTGCTGACATTATTACTGGCATGATTGTAACCACAAGCTAAAAAATAAGTAGGGAAGATTAAGTTGAAGAAATCATGATAGACCAATGGAGAAAGAAAAATGGTTTTTGAAGATGGCTGGCGTCTAATTTAAGTTAAAGATGTACAGTGTGTATGGAAAGCCATTTCCATATACCAAGGAGAATAAGAAGACAGCAACTGCTACATTCCTAGTATTGCATTTATAAAAAGGAGATAAAAATCACAGATAAATGTATCCAATATAGCACAACGCATTTGGCTTGAAGACTACATAGTTTTAGTACTACTGCCCTTAACATACTGTGGTGAGAAATGTACTCCCATGATTTGTAATATGAAATGGAGGAAATATGAAAAAGGTGATTACTTAAGAATCCCTCAGTGCTCCCAGATTTTTAATTTTTATTTGAATACAGTTGCATTACAAATGACATTTTAATGTTATTCAGAATAGTGGAAATATAGGCAGGATTTAAATTTTAACCCTACAGAAATCCTTTCAGGGTTGAGGTATGCTATCTAAGTCTCCAATTTCCACATCATTTTGATAACTTAAATGCCAAAAAGCAAAAAGGGGTTGAATGGAAATATAAAAAGAGAAACACAAATTAAACAAAAAGCGGGTGGAAGCGCCTTACCAGTTTTGGGTGTCAAACTCAAATCTGTGTCAGAAGAAGAGGACTGTCGACTGTAGGACTTGGAAGGTGAAAAGGAATAGGTTTGGTTTTTCAGAGGGGTGGAGGGTCCTGATGAATGAGTATTGGGATTGGGATCTTCATTGAAGGGAATCCTGCCAGAAGAAGGTGGAAACATATTCAGTAATCCTGTGCCAAAGGACCTGGCTGACAGCAGCATGATCCAACACCAGGATGGGATTGGGGCAGGGCCAGCAGCTATTCCTGAGGTGCGAGACTGGGGATGAGGCCAGAGGCAAAGAAATGCTGGTTTACCCATTCAGCATTCTACATTTAGATGCTGATAATCTACAATGAAACAATTAAGCCAAATGAAAGGCATGAGATGCGACAAAAAATAAAATATATACAAAAAAAATTAAAAACAGTTTATGGCTTAAAAATCTGTCAAATACACAATGCTGAGTTAGTTTAATAAAGAAAAAATGATTTAAAATTATATTTGTGTTTATACATATTCATACATTTATGTATATACACATATATGCATTTTAAGGAAAAAAAAAAATGTTTCCTTATCCTATAGCATCAGCAGCATGCCACAGCTAAAAACAGAGAAAAGAGGAGAGTCTTTATGGGAGCAACTACATTGACAAACAGTTCACTTATGCACAGATTGACTTACCTGCTCTCTAAAACCATCTCTTCCACAAATGGCACATACCCTTCCTATTACTATTTCAAAACCTAAATACTGTATCTGAATTATGCCTGAAAGCAATCATGAACGCCAATTAAAAGATGATTTCCTCCAATATCATGAATGTTTCCCATATGCATCTACTTGGTTTACTTCATTTATTAGGAAGTAAGCCTGTTAAAAGAAATGAAGAGTGTGGCTTTGTGGAAGAGACTCCAATGTATTTGCAAGGAACTATTGCCTTGTTCCAGCAGCTGCACAGAGTAGTTCTTCACTGACAATAGAAGGTGTCTCCATGAGAAAATGAGGAAGAAAAGATGGGTGGTACCTGCCTACACTCCCTGCCTGCCTGCACTTTGCGACCACTTTGCCTGTGGCCTGTCTCTCCCCAGCTCTTGCGTCTGAGCAGTCTCGTACCAGTGTAGATGAGAGTGGGAACAGACACAGAGAAGTTCTGAGTAAGTCGTGAGCCAGTAGCAGTGTGAATTGGGCTGTTGTGAGTCGAACGGCATCCATGGCTTGGCGGATGAACCAGCGGAGACCTGAGAGAATTTGCAGCCAAGGTGGAAGAAAAGAAAACAATACATACAAACAGGTTGCAAAGTTATGTTATAAATGATTTCAGGGAAGTTTAGCTAGAGGAGATGTCTTATTGTAAGCAGACTCTAAGTAAATTTAAATTCCTAGCATGCAAGAGTCCAGATGAAATAAAAAGAGAGAAAGGAACAGCTTAAGCACTAGCTTGTGAATGTGCAAGAGGGCATCAAGTTAGTAAAGCCAAGAATAAGAAGCATTAGTTGATTTTGCTGGTTTTGAGAAACACTCCCTTTTTTTGGACTGAGGGATTCTTACAATATTCACCACCAAGCTGAACATGGATTATCTGGGGGGTGGCATTAGCACATTTTGCTCCAGGGTGAAAACTACTGATTTATTTATGAATGCTTTTTAAATTGGTAGTTACCAGGCCCACCTTTTCTTTTTTAATCACTGTTATTTTATGCTGCATTGTATCCAGAAGCTCTTTTGATGCTAAATTTTTAAAATTAAGTTAAACAAGCTATGATGTGAAAGAGAAACCAGTAATTTTGCCAAGTGAGAGCATACTGATGCCTGTATGACAAAAATGCCTAATCACTACTGCAATGACACAACAGTTCATGAAAATGGATACTTTATTAATACCTCCACAATCATAGCATAAGCAGTATACTTTTTGGTGCTTTTTTCCTTCCAGAAATTGGATCACTCTACCAAACAGAAATTAACTAATTTATCCAAATAACAAAGTAGTATCAATTTACAGATGACTGCAAGTATTTTTCTATTAATTTGTATGCACATTTTAAAAAAATGTATTCAAACTGTGCTTGGTGCTGCACTAGATATCAGAAAGACCAAGAAATTCTGTCTCTCATCATCTGCAAGTACGCTATTTAACTAGACCTGTTTTGCAATAGCCCTACTTGTTTTGCAACAGTAAAAAGCAAAGCACACAAAAAAAGACAAGACTACTTCAGGGTCATTCACTAAGTCACTGACAGAACTGTCTGAATTCAAAGTTTCTTTTCTTATATGCTCAGCATAAACAGATAAATCTGATTGTACTGAACTTGGAAAATCTTGAACAGAAGTTATGTCATAAGAAGCCCTCACATAAGTGTTTACTGTACAAACAGAGTCAAAGCAGAACTAATTATTAATTTGGAAATTGGTGGATTGCAACCCAAGGATATGTAATACCATTGCTATATAAATTCAGAAAAGTCATATTAGGTAAGGATTACCACTCCAACTTCTAAGGAAATAACTTAAGCAATCCAACCTAAAACACTTCAAAACTGTGCAATATAAACTTTGTTGCAGACAAACAAAACTACAAAAGAAAAATAAATTCTGGGAAGAAAAAAAGAAATCACACCAGTTATGTAAAATTGAATGAGTATGAAAAGAAGAGAGATGAAGCTTGTTTCCCTACAAAATATTAATTCATACTTACTCCTTCATTTCTTTGGATGGGGAGTTACATGCAGGTAAAAATGCTGATGGGTTACTTAGTTTATCCAACGTGCAGGCTGTTCCTATGGCTCGTACTACTAGTCCAGACTCTCCCTCCAAATCAAAACACTGCAAATAACCAACAACAGCATTTCCTCTCATCTCAAGCACTTTCAAGCCAATCTTCCTTTGCAATTCACCTACAAAACAAAACATAATTAACTCACAATTGCGGCTGGAGCACCTCGCACGTGAAGACAGGCTGAGAAAATTGGGGCTTTTCAGGCTGGAAAACAGAAGCTGTGATCAGGCTGGAGAAGAGCAGCCTTCAAATATCTGAAAGGCACCTACAAGGATGCTGGAGAGGGACTCCTCATCACGGACGGCAGTGACAGGACAAGGGGTAATGGGTTTAAACAGGGGAAGGAAGTTCAGGGAGAAAAGTCAGGCACAATGGCCATCAGGACAACAGAACCTTCAGAAACAGAACATACTGTGAACTAAAATAATAAACATAATTACTACTAAAAATAATATGCAATATTGTCTTAAGTCACATATTTAAATAGTGAATGTTTAAAAGTAGCAATAACCATTACAGCCTACATGTTTAATACCTGACATGAGTGAAATAAGTCTTTGTCTAGCCTCATTTGATGCCCTTGGTGTACGAATTCGGTCTATCCACTGGTATTCTGGGTCTTCATTGACTACAAGCTCTTCCACAAATCCATGAATTATTACTGCTCTGTAACACTTAGGAATGGATGTAGCTGTTAAAACAAAATATATATATATAAAAAATGTAAGGCATAAGTCTATGAGCCAAGAATTACAAGAAAAATATAAAATTACACATAATGAGTGATGCTAACAAGTCCAGAAATTAATGTACACAATTTTGTGTTAAAATGTGGCCATACCCAAGGGGGATATTTACATTGTTTTAAAATACAGACAGAAAATATTTATTTAAAAAATTTAAGTAAACTAAACAATTTTCTGCATTTACTACTGTCTTCAATGTAATCTCCACTAGGCTTACACTATGAGCTGGTAAAAGAAGGAAAACTGACAGAACAGGGTAAAAAAGAAAAGACGGCGGGGAGAAGGACGGGCGGGGGGAAGTTTTCTTTTCAACAATACCTTTTTCCTCTACTTACTGCAAAAAAACTTGACTCCACAGGATGACTGCCTAAACCTGTTTAAATCATTGAAGAGATCTACTTTCACCACCACACTGATCTCCCCACGTATACCTGTCAATGAAAACCACAAAAAATTAGAAGCTGTATCAGAAACTAATATAAAACTAGTCATATTAATTAATATCTATTATTAGTAATTAATGCACTATTAACAGTGAGTTCTGCAAAGAAGGTACTACAACCCTGCTAGAACAGTTCAGCTCAACTGGCAGTTCATGTATCACTTCTAGCCTGGACCAGAGCACCAGGAAGGTATTTCCTTGCTTCTCAGATCTGCTTCAGTGATGCTGCATCAGAGGATGTGTCTAGTTCTGCCAAGTCTTTGAGGCTGCAGCTGGACAAGCAAGTCCTCAAATACATGCTGCACTGAACAGGAGTTCAGAACTAAAATGAGATTGGGAAAAGAGAATCCACCAGCCTCCTGATACTGCAGTGGCCTCTGCTACGGTGTGTGATGCTCCTGTCCAGTCTCCCTGCTCCTGTGACCTGCACCATCAATGCAGGAGAGGTATAAATCAGTATAAGGACTGCGACCACCCCAAGATATCCTAGCACAAAAGGTTGGAAGTATTAGCCTTGAGTATGGCTGCTTTAAAGCTGGAGTCTGTACACATCACAAAGCCCTCGCCAACACCAAAAAGCTTTTACATTTTCTCCCTGAAATGCTTTCAAAACCGCAGCAAAGCTACTCTCTGTATTTCAATCCAATGAGAATATGCACAGTTCTTTCTAGAACCACAAAGTGGCACAGTAAATGTTTGTAAAATACTTTGACTATGAGAAGAATTATGCAAAAAAATAAGGTATTACAGACTGTTTAGATAAAGCTTAATTTTTGGCCACAATTAAACATCACTAATGGAATATTTTCTCAAGACACAGCCATTCCTTTTTGAGTTTTCTACTTTCTTATTCTTTCTTCTTTTTCCCCACCCAGTAACATAATCATTTCACACATTACAGGTTCCGACATATTGAGGACTAAATTTCTTGATGAGTCTGAACTCCAGTGCCTTCAGAAGCCTTTACCGTGTAAGTATATAACAAACAAAAGCATTAAATTTGTACGTTGACTCTGACATTAGTACAATAAAGTTAACTAGATCTATCTTCCAAAATTCCAATAGAAAGAAGCCTTCAGTTACTATAACAGGAAGTGCCTTGGGTTGATATATTTTCATAGACAATCATGTTGAAGTGCAAAGAAAAAAACTAATAAAAATTTATAAACTTTTTTTTTTTAAAGGAAGCATGAGTTACTGTTTGACAAGGATAAAGATAGTTAGAATCTACTGGTATGAGCATGAAAATACAAAAATTCTAATTTTGCTTAAATAGAAAACAACTGTGAAATATTAGCAGATCTAGAAAAATACAGAGAAATCTAATTCTCTCAGTGATACAAGTTGTACACATCTTAAGAAAGGTGTTCACCTAATTAACTTCAAACAGAAATGTATAATAGTAAAATGTGAAGGGAATAAAAGGATAAGAAAAATAAATGTATATTTCTCAAAAAAAACCAGCCTCTTCAATATAACTGTTTTAAACATAAAAAATAGTTTGTATCAGTAATGTTGATGATCTAGTAAATACCGTTAATTATGTTCCAACAACAATTTATAATTAGCTCTTAACATTGTTAGGTCTATGTAAAATGGATAATGAACAAGGGTGGTACTGGCAATGACACAGATGTTTTGAAATAAGGTATTCAAGCAGCAAGCTAATTGCTGTAAGTCAACCTTGACTTTCTGGAACAAAAGCTGTGTTTCATTAAAATCAAAGGCAAAAATATCATTAACTTCATGTTCTCATACCTTCAAGATATTCTGAGGAAATCTACCTAGCACTGAGAGTAATTCCTGCAGGGAAAAGGTACTTCATACTGAAGGTATGTCACATCCTGTCCCTCCATCTCAAGTGGAGTTTACCTTGCATCTCAGCAAGGCACACCCCAAGAGCCTTCAGCAAGACTATATTAGTTTAGTAAACACACAGCAATTGGAAAAATATGTTTGGATTATTTTTTATTTTACTCTCAATTTTGCAGTAACTATTTTAAATACCACGTGAAGATTTTTTCCACTTGTCCCAAGTTCTATGGAAGACGTTCTGCCAAGCACTGGTCTGAACTACCATGCCAGAAATTTTCTCATGCCAGAAATAAGGAAAAAAAAACACCAGAAGTTTTGCAGCTCACAAGGCTAAAATTATTACAATTTTCTGAAGGCAGCTTACATAAATGAAGATTGCAAGAAGCAGATTACATCTCAAACAACATTGTTTTACTTTCAAATTAGCAAGTCTTACCATGAATGGTATCATAGATGGGAAACCATCCCGAAATAACTGTAGCTGCTTCACTGTAGAGCAAAGGATCAATATCTATGTACACTTTGCCAATGGCATCATTAGCACTGTAGGTATCATGATCAAGAACTGTGATCTGGAGAGGCTCATCTTGTAGCTCTTCATCATCTACCTAGAAACAAATATTAACATGGAATCTTAGTATTTTTAAAAAATGCAGGGAAACACTGCTGAAAAACAAATGCAAAAAGAAAGAGGGATGCACGGTGCTGTAACACAGTTAGATCTGTAGTTTTGATTTCCTGTATCTAAACAACACACTCACTTATTTTGATTTTACCCTTCACGGGCTAGTGAGATCCTGAAGCCACAGTTACCACTGGGAGAACAGAAAAGCAAGATTACAGTAATTACACATTGTAAAATTGCACATAATTTGTTTTGAGTCACATTCCCTAGATTGTTTACCCATCTCCACCAAAAAAGTATGAATACTTTTCATTTAGAAAAAAAGGAAAATTCAAGATAAAGCATCTCAGAAGACTGTTATACTCCAAAGTTACAATTACTGGTGTTTTCACCCTCCCAAACTGCTCAGTGGCTTAAAAGAGGATATTTTATACAACCAGCTGTTAAAATCCAGTCATTTCAGACATGCACTTTACTAAGTAAATGCAACAATCTACCTGCAAACACCTCAATTGTTTTTTTCGATATACAAAGATAGAAATTATACAGCTTTCTGTGCTGAACATCACAAACCATGAATCAGGTTTGCCAGGCGCAATGGGATGACTCATTTAAGTGTTTACAGCACTATAGCCTTGCAAAAGGATCAAACTCCACACACACACACATGTGCACACACACACACACACACACACACAATGTCTAAAAGAGCTAGTGTTTTTCCACTCTTTAAAATGTGGAATTCTTTTTTCTTTCCCCCACTGTTGCTGTTTTCTTTCCCAAATCCATTTTTCCATGCAAAAAGATAGGATTTTGAGACTTCTGTTATTGCCAAAAAAATCTCTTTCCCTATGAACAGAGTTAACCCTCCAGACAGATCAGGTCTTTCCTCCTAAAAGATGACCCCAGGCACTGACAGATAAAAACAAGAAAAAAAAAAAAAACAACCACCTTTTTACTACCTTTTTAGTCAACACGGATTGCTGATTAAGAGATGCTCTTAAGCATTGTATTGAATAATAATCTGCCTAACCTTACTATTTTATATTTGCTCAAAAATGCTTCTAACATTACCAGCTATTACATCACTTAGTACATGTACACAGTTTCAACCATGTTTATGCTGTGATATTACCTTAGAACACTATAAATGACAGAACGATTAATTCAATTTTTTTAACAACTAATTTACCCCAAACATCTTTCTCTGTTATTAAAAAATGAAGGAAAAAGAATAATTAAAAAAAAAGAATACGTGAACAGTTGTTCAGGGCATAACATCAAAGAGTATTGATGAATTGTATCCTGCAAAACATCAAGAAGCAATTACAGTAACATACCGAGTGCTCTCATTATTACATAAGGAAATGGGAAAATAAAATGTCCAACAGTTGCTGTCCAAGCTCTTTATTTTGTAATTTTCTCATAGGAATTCTCTGTTTTCTTCTCTGCCAAGTGCATTATTTTTGCAACCCATGGTGACATTCTAAATACCAATTAACTTTCCTAACTAAAATTACCCCTTTAAAAAAAATACAAGCATACTGATATACAAAAGCCTGATTCTTCATGCTATTTTCCCCCTACTTTCACCTCTGCCTTGTCTTTTTTAGTATTACCCAGAATAACATCTGAGGTGGATCCAATCTGGCAAGCTTTTATCTTTACAAACAGCTCTGAAAAGCCAAAGAGACACCTTTAGCAAACAAGCTCTCACTGTAGATAGGTTTGCTGAAAAGGCTTCATGTGTATTTAAACAAAAAACACTTCACCTCTCAAACTCATTTTCTCCCTGAAATGATAATATTTCATTAAGGGCATCTAAACAAGAACATGTATATAGACACAAACTCTTAAAAAATACTTACTTCAAATTTGAACCACTCAGAATTCCACTGAGGATTAAGAGATTTGGGATACACATCTGTCTTAAATGTTGTATTTCCAAATTTTACCTAAAAATATAAGCATGCAATTATTAACAAATACTAATAAATTTAGAAACTCATCAATTCTACACATGCAAATAATTTCAAATAGATTATTTCAATAATATCAACAAATCCTTTTCAGTAACATCAGCTTTTTTTAATCAATTCACATACATCAGTAGGTAACTTTCCATGCAACAACAACACTTCTGGTATATCTCTCTCCTTTCCTCCTTAATCACTTGATAAGTAGAAATACCACTTCTATTCAAAGTGACCTGTATACTCTCCTTGGGTTCTGTTTAGAAAACGTGTAAACAAAAGTATTCTATCTAAATATTAAGAGCTAATGTCCCACTACTGTTCTCTCTAGGGTTTCTAAATCAACTTTATTGACAATTTATAAAAGAAACACAGAAATGAGAATGGTAACATCGGTAAATTTATTTCTGAAATTTAAGAAATCTCCCTAGATGCACACCAGAAAATAACTGAAACCATTTCCATTAAGTGCAATTGCAATATGCTGGACACATACCAGTAAATTCAGAGCAGCAAGGGGGAGCCTTATCCAATTTTATTCTTTTCTTAAAATATAAAAAAATTACAGAAAGCATATGGGCAAAAAAGATAAAGGACTATATGTATCTATACACACACGTCTCTACATACCCCTGTAACCATCAGGTACTGAAGATCAAATATTCTTCATAATTCTATTGATTAATGCACATAATAGCCTATATGAGGAATCTCCATTTGGTCTCCATATTGGTCTACGTCAAGACAACCCCCTTTGTTTTGGGTTTTTTGTCTGTTTTGTTTTTAAAAAGTGAAACAATTTCTGTGGTGCCCCATACAAGAAACAATGCTGCCCAAGGCAACTTTGTTTCACTGAAGCTCTTACTACAAACCACTCACAAACACTTGTAGATCTCTGAATGTTGCCTCTAAAATTAATTAGTACTTCATACCAAGTATCTGATCATGCTTACAAATACCCAAAGTTATGGGGTTTAATTCATTCAAAATTCTTAAGAAAATAATGAGTGTGCTGTCATAAAAGAAATGCTGAAGTTAAAGACAGCTGAAGATTCTGAATATTGTTTCCTTTTTAAAGTCTAAATAGATTTTGGAGACTAAATTTAGGCTTAACTTCTGAAACATGTATGGCAATTTTTAAAATACTTTTGCTCAAGAAATTATTAAATAAACACTTCATAGCTTTCAGTAATATGGTGATTATTTTGCACAGGTGCATACCTCAACTCTAGAGAGATTCTGAACATGCTTTAGGCTTCTTAATTAAGCTGGTTGTACTTAAGCACCACAGGACTGGATTATGAGCTCACATTGAGCTATGTATATATAACTGTACATACCTCAGTCAACAGAACTCTGTATAGCATTTATGACCAAAGAAATAAAAAACCCATGGGGCCCCCTACTTGATTTAATGAACAGTAATGCTTTTCAAAAAAGTTACTTCAAAGTTTTCAAGTTAAAAGCCAGAGTGGTATGAAAACACAGGACCAAGCAACCTTAGTGTAAAAAATCACCCAGCTATTAAAAGGTGGATGCAGCCTATATGTGTACAAAAAAACTAACAGCACTGCCACTCAGAACATGTATTCATACAAAGCAGTATAATAAAGCGATACTGACACTAGTTTTAAATGAGCTACCTTAGGTATCAGAAGCTGCCAAGGAGGAACAGCCCAGAGCTCCACCCAACCTATTTTTACAGGTTATCTAGGGAGTAAATTAGCTCCCTTGGAGCCCCAGGCAGTTATAACTGAAGTTCTCCAGTAGTCAAGCTACTTCATTAAAGCCAGTAGAGATAATCAAGCACTATACTGCTGTCTGCAGTATAAATTTAGAAGCACAATTACAGAAGAAATTGTGCTACTTTGCTCCGGATCACACATGCTAGCAAAGTCCAAGTTGTGCATAACCTGAGCCAAGTCTTCTCCTATTTTCTTTTGTAATTCTAGAGTAATGTTAAAGGCTAGTAATTAACTAGTACCTTAACATTACTTTTGTTTTTCATTTTTATTAAAGTGAAAACACTTTGTAAACGGTTTCATCAACCTTACACAGAAAAATAAAATAGCTTCAAGCTCAGTTTAGTTTGAGATAAATGTCAAAGGGGCAATTCCCAGTCTTCCTAAGTAACAGTCCTAACAGCAAGGCGCCACCTACGTATTTCGTTAGCCTTATTTGCGCCAAGACATTCATGAAACTGCACATTAACCCAGCTAAGCAAACTGATCTTTCTGAAAAGTCCTATTTCCTTTATGCTAAGGTAGTCTTTTAACTAGATCAATTTTGCAATCTGTCTTGCCACACACCCAAGACAGTAGAGTTGGTACAGATGGAGGAGGGTTGGGAACAAATGGCCAACAAGACAGGAGAGCTGTTTCTCCTCCATAGTAAAAAAACAGGCCAAATGAAACTCATTAGCTGCATTTCCCATTTCCCATTCTCACAAGTAGCATGCGTGTTGGGGGTCATAGGCTATTCATCAAATTTGAAATTAAAGAGCAGTCCATATAAATGAAAAATTCACTGATGAAACATTTGAAACCAAACACTAAAATATGAAGTTAAATGACTGTCATTCCTGCAATAAAATAGAAATGTGTACTATTTCAGCTCCACTGAAAAGCATGCCAAATACATTTTAGCTTTATTAGCAATGTCCTACTATGCAATGTGTTTAGTGTCTAATGTCAATCAAATATTTAAGCGCCAAACAAAAATCGGGACTTACATACCCAAAATCTATTTTGATATTAATATCAGACTTTTCAATTTATACAGTTCTAGACCAACATTCTGTCTTCCTACCTGAATTCCAGTGTTGCGTCAACCTCAATTAAAATTTGTGGTAGAAACATGCATTCCATTTTTAAACACCGCTTTGCTTTTTCTGTATGATTTCTGAATCTATGGAATGTTCTTGAAATGTTCTAAGTTATTCACATTGGAAATAATGAATCATAAAACAGAAGGCTCACGTCAACTTATTTTACAATCCCTTCCTAAGAAATACCCTATATATTGCCTGTTAATTATATAATTGTAAAGAAGGCTGGAGTTAAATACTTCTGGTGCAACAAAGTGATTTAAACAAGCAGACAATATTAAATACTTTGAATCACAGAATCGTAAAACCAACTAGGTTGGAAAAGACCTTTAAGATCATCAAGTCCAACCATTACCCCAGCACCGCCAAGTCCACCACTAAACCATGTCACTAAGGGCATCTATATGGTTTTTGAACACTTAACAAGGATGGTGATTCCATCACTTCCCTGGGCAGCCTGTTCAATACCTGATCACCCTTTCAGAGAAGCAATTTGTCCTAATGCCCAGTCTAGACGTTCCCTGGCACAGCTTAAAAAAAACAATTCGAAAATATTTTAGCACTTCAAATACTTTAAATAAAAATGAGAATATTGGTCGAAGAGTAACGCCTGTACAACCACTCTGCAGACATATATTCACAAACACAGATGCCTTAAACACGCTTTTATTAATTCTTCACCCGGCTTGCCATACATCCATCAAATCCCGAAATGGATTCCATTTGGCTGCCTGAGCAATAAGAGCCATTTATTAACAACCGCCAGCCAGGAGAGGCTTAAAACAAACAGGCCTATTTCTAAAACATCATTTGAATTCTACATGCCTGTCAGCTAAAAATCAAGGATAAACCAGAGACTGCTTTCACAACATCCCGTCCGACAGGAGCGCAGAATGCTCCCCACCGTGCCCGCGCCCTCGCCTCACCGCCCAGAGAGGCTGCAGTCGAGGGGGCAGTTCCCGGGCCCAGGCCGAAGGCACTAAACGCGCCCAAGGGCGGGCGGGGCAGCTGAGGAGAGCAGCAGCCGGCTCCGTACATGACCACGGCGGCACCTGTCACCGAGGCGCAGCCGGACGTCGGGGGGTGTGTCCCGTGCCCCTCCGGCTCGGGGGCGCCGCGGCAGGGCCCGGCAGCAGGTGCCTGCCAGCCCTCCTTCCCTCCCTCCCTCCCCGATGCACCGCGCGCCTCCCCTCCCGCAAACCTCCACAAAGGCGTCGGTGAGGTCACTGGCGCGGTCCATCACGGGCAAATGGCGCCCCGCCACGATCTTGACCTTCAGCTTCCCCGGCATCCTCGCACTGTTTCTCCACCACCGCCTCCCGCCGGCTGCAGGGGGAAAACAACAGCGCGTGTCCCATGGAGCGGCACGGCAAGCCGCCGCGACGGGGGGCGAGGGGGGGTGGGAGGAGTGGCACGGGTGACGGGGCAGCTAGGGCGCATGCGCCGCTGCGAGCAACGGTTCTGCAGAGCCCTGCCCATTCCCGGCGCTTCTGCCTAGGCACAGGAGCATGCGCTCCGTGACGGCACCCAGCGGGGAAGTGACGGCAGTGGGGCGCATGCGCTACTCACCGGGTCACCGCTGCGGGCGGCCGGAGAAGCAGGGGGTGGCGGGCATGGGTTGGTTTCCAGCCTCCACCGCTGGCGGCCGGGCCCCGAGAGCGCCTCGCCGCTCCGCTTGGCTTTGGTGGTACTGCCCCGCGCCGCCACTACGACAACATGGCGCTGCTGTTACGGGGACCCCTTTGGAAGTCGAACGCCGACTCCTCGATGGGTTCCCCGCTAGCGCAGCGGCGGCGCTCCCAAGTCAGAGTGCTTGAGCGCCGAGTCATCGATGCCCGGGGCTGTGGGCGGCCAGTGGCGGTAGTGGTACGGTGTGAGTCGCCTCCAGCCTCCTCACAGCCGCGTCAGGCCGGGCCAGCTCGTCCCTGACCGGTGCTGCCGGCTGGTCCCACGGTCCGGGCCCATTCTGCCCCTTTATGCAGCCTCGGGCTTGAGGGCCTGTTAACGGGGAGGCGTGGAATATACGTGTATCTCCTGGCACTCGGTGGCAGAATCCTTTAAGGGGTTTAAACCAAACCCCATGGGTTTATTGTCGTTTGGTTTTTCTTGTTGTTGTTTTGGGGGGTATGTGCAGTATTTGAGGGATTATGAATCGATTAAACAGAATTTAGTTATCAGGAGTAGGATTTGATATGATTCTCATAGCCAGGTTTTGACTTTCTGATGCTTGAAAAGCTCTTTGTTTAGGAAATAGTGCTGTGGAAGCTTGAGGAACCTAAAGGACCCAGGCTGGCCAAGACTTGCCTCGGGTATGTGCCCACCACTGAGAGTGTGAAACCAGGATGTGTGAGGATCTGTGATCATGGTGTGGTTGTGAACAGGAATATAAAAGAACCGTTGTGCTTTGATAAAGGAGCTCCCGGATGTTGAACTAAACAGCAGATCCAGTTGGATTATTCTCCCTTCTTTGTAATCTTACAACAAGACTAACTCATATTATGGGCTGGTATGTGATACTGCAAACATAAACCATATGAACAAAATGCTACAGTAGTGTGTAGCATAGCAAATTACTGTATACAAGATCTTTGGTTATCTGTCCTCCAGCTAGCCACATTTAGTCTCACCGATAAAGCATTTCCTCTCTTAGCTTATTTCTGAGTTATCTTTGGAACAAGTCATACAGTTGCTAGTATTCATCACATTTCTGAATAAATTACAAACAGGCTATGTGTGTGTTTTTTCCTCATGCATCCTGTTTGAGTGGAGTACTGCTGAGGCTGCTCCCAAAGCAGGATAGCAGCAAGGAGCAAAGACCCAGGAAGGTACTTAAACCCAGAAAACATGCTACTTATGTTAGGGTATTAATTTAGACCAAAAATGCGATTTTGAATGGAATCTCCTGATCTCACCTGCTTAAATGTTTTTGCTCACCTGAAATTAATATTTAATTTGCATAAGACCGAATTGAAAAGTATAAGCTAACAATACACAAAATGCATTCCAGCTGTTTCAGGGCATTTGGGCTGTAACAGTAAATTAAACCCTGTTGAACGGTCTTTATTTTCCTATGAAGATCGTCTGAGGAATCATAGAATAGTTAGGGTTGGAAAGGACCTTAAGATCTAATTCCAAGCCCCCTGCCATGGGCAGGGACACCTCACACTAAACCATGTCACCCAAGGCTCTGTCCTGGCCTTGAACACTGCCAGGATGGAGCATTCACAACTTCCCTGGGCAGCCCATTCCAGTGCCTCACCCCCCTTACAGTAGAGAACTTCTTCCTTATATCCAATCTAAACTTCCCCTGTTTAAGTTTTAACCCGTTACCCCTTGTCATATCACTACAGTCCCTAATGAAGAGTCCCTCCTCAGCATCCTTATAGCCCCCTTCAGATACCAGAAGGCTGCTATGAGGTCTCCACACAGCCTTCTCTTCTCCAGGCTGAAAAGCCCCAACTTTCTCAGCCTGTCTTCATACAGGAGGTGCTCCAATCCCCTGATCATCCTTGTGGCCCTTCTCTGGACTTGTTCCAACAGTTCCATGCCCTTTTTATGTTGAGGACACCAGAACTGCACACGGTACTCCAAGTGAGGTCTCATGAAAGCAGAGTAGAGGGGCAGGATCACCTCCTTCGACCTGCTGGTCAAGCTTCTTTTGATGCAGCCCAGGATACGGTTTCCTTTCTGGGCTGCAAGTGCACACTGAAGCCGGCTCATGTTCATTTTCTCATTGACCAACACCCCCAAGTCTTTCTCCGCAGGGCTGCTCTGAATCTCTTCTCTGCCCAGCCTGTAGCTGTGCCTGGGATTGCTCCAACCCATGTGTAGGACCTTGCACTTGTCATGGTTAAACTTCATAAGGCTGGCAATACTTCAAGTGTAGTATTTCAAACAGGAAATAAAGTTCCAGGGAATTTTTACTGCAGTTTCCTAGTGAATATCTCCCTGGGATTATGAAATACATATTTCTTTTTTTTTTTTTCCACAAAAATCTGTCCAAGGATTCAGCTTTTCAATGGAAGATTTTATAATCAAAGGACTAGAAACACCTGCTTTGGAGAAACAGTTCAAATCTGGTTTTTGGGTACTTGTAATGATCTGCTAGATACGATTTAATGCATTAAGCAACCTGCATGGTGTATTATACCTTTCTTAGGGCTGAGGAGTTTCTATACTGGCAGAATAAGGCCTGTCTTTCCATAAATTAGCATGGTACTCAACACATTTCCTGCCAATTGTATTACAATTCTCTAGGGCCAGCAGGGACTTACACAAAGTGAAAGGTAAAAAGGACTCAACTAAAAGTTTAGTCAAAGCCCTAGAATATATGAACTGTTTGAGGCATCTAAAATAGCATTAGATTTCCCTCTGCTTTAGGCAAATGATATTCATATAATGGATATACTTGAAACTAAAGCTGTATTATGTACTTTCTCAGTAATACGCATGTTGGAGACCACAGAAAATATTAAGAGGTGTTATTTTTACTATGGGGGAGGAGGGGAGAGGGAAAGAGAGGTGACATCTGACTTTGTACTTTACTTTAGTATCCACTTTGTTTCTTGCTGAGTTGTCTCCCTTCTGCTTAGAAGTCTGCTTTAGCAGGTCGTGACAATAGAAGTTGTGTTACAGCAAGATAACAAGTATATGCTTAAAGAACAGCGTTGTCTTATTTGAGCAGGCATTGCCACATATTAAATACCATAATAAACCAACTATACAAACCAAGAATATTGATAGTTACAGTATTAAAGACATCTTGTGTGGAACAACGACTGTCATGAAAATAAGAGTTTTGTGTGGGGAAGCTGTGAGATTTTATTATCTAAAAGTGAAGATCTATGTATCCCTTCTTTTCCGCTTGTTGTATGATAGATTTTTGTTTTGTGTTTTATTTCCTGCTTAACTGCTAGCTCAAAGTGTGTGTGTATTTCCAACAAAGAGAGATTTCCTTTCTGGTAGACATGCATGTTGAACCCTTAGCTTATAAATTGATACTCCAAAGAAAACATTTTCACCATAACTTCAATCTGCTGGCCCATCACTTTAGGGTAGGTTTCAGTTAGCTTAGCTTACTAGCCTTCTGCAAGATACAGATTAGAAGATCATGGTCTAGGCTTTCTTCAGGTTACACCATAACCTGAGATGTGGGGGGCTGCATCTTACCTGTGTGGAAAAGTGCTTTTTTATTATATTGCATTGAGCTGATTTGAACAAAAATAAATGAAAAGGGTTTTTTTGATTTTTAGTTTGTTGCAACACACCAAAGAGACCTTTTATCTGCTTGCTTGTTAGCTTTCACAGAAGATACTGGTTCCGTTTCTACTGCAGTTACTGTGATAAGTAGTCTGAAACAGGAGTCCTTGTCAACTGTTACCAACAAAGAAAACCCTGAAGTGCCAGTTTTTGGCTTTTAGAAAAATCCCAGTATTTCTCTGTAAAGCTACATATTTTAAAGACATCTGGTTGAAATCTACAGGACACCAATCCAAAAATATCCTTAATAATTATCAGAGGAGTCCTATCTCCAGACGTGTGTGTGTGTGTGTGTGTGTGTATAGCTATATATATATGTACGCATAGATATATATATGTGTGTTCTTAGTAAAGGCCCCAGCATCCCAGGGAAAAAGAAACCAAACAAAACAAAAACCTCATCTTATTTCTGCTCTGCTGTGTGCTCGCCACAAGGATTTAAATGGGGGCAAAATCCTGATTCTCCCTATTTGTTATTGCCTGTATGTATTTGATGTGCCATTGCAACCCTTAATCTCTCTCATTAGATTAAAAGACACAGAGTGAAATTCTGTCTCAATAAAATCATTAAGGTGAAACTCTCTCACTGAAATGAAGAGGTGGGTTTTATTATGAGCTGGGATAAACAAGGCTTTGTTACTGAGGTTTCTGGTTTGGACTGGAGAATTTCACTGTAGTTAGCCTGTTTAAACAGAAGATTAAGAACAGTATTAATGGCTATTACTATCTACATGAACAAATTCCTACTACCATAGAGATCTCTAATATAGCAGGTGTGATAAGGAAAGGATGGAAGTCTGAATAGAACAAATTAAAACTCAGAATATGTAGATGTGAGTAGTGGAAATATGAGTTATTGAGCAAGTTGTGAAAAGCAGGCATTTTTTAATTGCCTGTAATCATAGGTCATTGGGAGTACTTAGAATCTGTAGTTCTGTCACAGAGACAGCACTTTTTGCTGACCTGTGGGAAAGAATAAACAAGAAAATGCCCATGGCCTTGCAAAGATATGTGCTACGTGAAGAAGGAAGGTGACTGTGGCAGGCTGCAGTCTCCATGATTGTCACCTTGCTGCTACGACAGTTTCCCTCCCTGAAAGGGTAGAGAGTGAGCCTGGGGATGGCTACACAGAGGATGTGAAGGCAGTTAAGAAGTGGTGGCTACCTGGTACATGATCCAAAACATTCATTTTGACTCCAGGTTACTTGGGGAGGATCTTATGGATCAGTTTTGCTGACTTTAATCCTACTTTGCCTAAAGCTGCATCTCTCAATAATGGTTTTAAATCTTGATGCTGTAACAACTAGATAAAAATCAGATGATTACAGTAAGTGATTTCCCTGATGGAATTAAAGTACATCATATGAGTAATGGTGTACATGGGTGGTGTTTTTTTGTCCTGAATCTATTCAAAGTCATTCTCAGGCTAATGGAACTAATTTGAGCTGACATTGGTGATAGATGGTAATATAGTCTGTTCTTATATAGAGACTGAATACAGAGCTCATTTGGAGACAGTATCTTGGAATTAATTTTTGAAGTTAAATGTTGTCAGTAAATTCAAATACTGTACTGGTGATACAGCAGATAGATCCAGATAAATTTATAATATTCTATAATATGTATGAAATAAATTTATCCATTGAAAACTTTTCAATTCCAATGATATTCTAAAACATTATTCCCATACAGATCTAGTGAATTGAATAAAACCTGGTTGTCCTTTGAGGAAAACCAGAAGCCAAAAAATAGTCTCAAGGCTTATATTAGGAGGGTAAAAATAAAGCCCAATATGTCTTAGTCCTGAGATTATATTTTTGAATTGTTTGTATGCACTTGTTTTCTGGATATCAACTATTTCCCTTGGAAATGAGATCTCAGCACTTCATATTCTTTTGAGAGTGACATCTTTTGAACAGTCTACTCAAGTCAATCTTGTGTTGACTTCAGCAGTTTGGGATCTGGTCCATATCAAGCAGTTTCTAGGAACAGAGACATGAAAATATTCAATTTCATGCTATTATGGCTGTATGAAGGTCTCAATTTCCATCTACTCTTGAAAGAAATTGTATAAAATAAATATTCACTAACAGGTGAATGTACGCAATTACCTACTGGGGGAATCAAACAACTGGATCTGATGTCATGTTCCAAGCTAGTAGTTGAATGTCATTTATCTTTCTTACAGTTCTGTGAGGGAAATAAAATTGCATATGACTTTGTGCATTTTATGAGCAATGAGTGGCAAAGGCATAATTGGGATATCAGTTCACAGAGATTGCAGCTGAGTCCTGTGTACACATGGTCTAGCAAAGATATGTAGTTACAAGGAGTACAATAAAAATAGCTATTCAGAATGTGTCATGCTTACAAAGCCCTAATTAGTCAACACCTAGGTAATAATTTAATTAAATATAATTTTCAGTAATATGGATAATTAGTCTTCCAGTGCACTTTCAACATTTCTGCCCTTCCTCCTTATAAGGATTGAGACAAAGAAATGTAATATTTACCTGTGATTGTAGTACATATTAGACTTACTAGAATGGTTATATTCTGCTTAATATTGTTGGCATTTTCTTTTTTTCCTGTATAAGTGTCATAAATAGATCATTTATTCAGGTCCCATCCCAAACCATGGAAATACTAATGAATGTGTATATTTGTATCTTGAAATTGCTGTCAAGATCAAAGATGATGATCCTGAATTTTTTAAGTAGGTTGGTGCTTCTTAAAGCTACAATCCTCGTAGTTTGTCTCATCAATTGCTATGGTACAGGCAGGAAGAGTACATATGTACTCTTCAGCAAGTCAGTCTGTGTCTTGGAAGAGATTATTTTGAGTATAGTAACTTTGCATGAATTATCTATAGACTAGCTCTTCAAGATCCTTCACAAGATATGCAAGTTATTTCTTGGTACATTAAAGAGATTAAATTGGATTACAATCAAAACAATAAATCTTTGTATTCTGAAACATGGAGTGAATGCAATTCTTAATAACCATGTGATGCTTTTGCTTCTTGTGTTCCAGTAATAATAGACATGATGTGAGTTACTGAAGTTGTTAACGTATAAACAATAAAAAGACATTAATGAGGCAAACCACTGAATTTTGTTTTTCAAGAGCATGTAATGCCTTATGTTTAGCATCTTACAGGCTTGTGTCTACACAGTGATGCTCATTTGCTGTCAAAACTTCTGATACAGAAGGGTTCACATTGTTTATTTTAAGAGTTTAACTCTCATTCTAAGCCAAAGAAGACAGAAGAGACTCATATTCTGAATTTTGACTCCTCCATAAGTACATATACATATGAAACATGTAGGCTCCTAACTCATGTCGGTAAAGTCAGAAGCTTAAAATCATAGAATACCAGGTTGGAAGGGACCTCAGGGATCATCTGGTCCAACCTTTCTTGGCAAAGCATGACATAGACTAGGTGTCCCAGCACCCTGTCCAGACAAAACTGAAATGTGTCCAAACTATACACCAAAAGTTAATATCCTTATAATTCACTTTTTATCACCATCCAGTTTATTGTGAAAAGTATGTGCTACTGCTGCAGAAACATCAGTCAAACTCAGTTTAGCAAAGTGGTCATGGTACATCATGTGAGTAAAGTAGGAGGAACTGTGATTGCTAGGAGATGAAGCACCTCACAAGCTAGATTAGAAAAACCCTCCAGGCACACATTGATGGAGAAGAAGGTGAACAAGAGAAGAAACCGTACTTTTCTTATCCAGAGATCTTAGAAAGGGCAGGGAGCTCCAACAAGAAGTCCCAAGTTTGGTGTGTGTTTTCTACTGAGAACATGCACTCTGTGGTGTGGCAAAAGAATGGTGCAGCCACAGGATGTGAGGCTCTGCACCAGGGAGTTTCATTGATAAAATCTTAAACTGTATAAGAAGCCACACAAAAGTCTAAAGTAGAAGAGTCTTCTTATCTGTGGCTAATCAATTATTGGAGCGATCAAGATGACTACTTCTAGTAAAGCAAGTATTTTTTTTTAGTCTTATCATGATTCCTGAATGTGTTCCTGAGTACCGCTGAAAGGAAGTACCCATTCACAGAGAAAGTATAAAAGTTCAAGATGTGCAGGAAACAAATGCCTTATATTCCCTACATACCACCTTATTTCTTAAGTTAAAACTCCTGTAGAGTAAAACCTAAAGTAGAACCCTGTCATCTGTGCTTGTTCTTTGAGTAGTCTTAATTCATTTCTGACAGAATTGCTTTCAATGCTGCATTTGACCCCATTAAAGACAATTTATAGGGCTTTTGAAATATGAGGACAGTGTCTTCGAACTGCCTTCAAAGTACAAAAATTGTCATTCATCAGGCTTGTTCTGCCTTTATCTGCTTTTATGTACAGGAGAATTACGATCGTCACCTTGGACTGTCTTGATAGCAGCTGAGGGAGGTACTGCCTTCATTTTACTAGCAAAGATTATTATGAACAGCACAACTAGAGAAATATATGCTAAGTACATTGCTTAATTATACATAATAATTCTATAAAATGACTGAGCATCTTTCAGTGCATGAAAGTTAAATATAGACCTTAATGAGGCAAGCCAGGAACTAAAGGTGACATCGGGCAGGAGCAATGACACCACCCACCAATTGCCATCCCACAGCACCTGAACAAGAAAAGCTGAGCAGGTCCAGCAGTGATAACGGTTAACAGCCTGGTAACTAGAAATCAGGTCTATAGTAACAAGGCGGGTTGCAAGTCCAAGCAAAGCAGCAAGGCAAGGACATGATCTGCAAGGTTGAAAGCCAACCCACCAAATCTCTTATGCAAGAACTAAGGAAGAAGCAAGGGCAGAGGCCTGAGCCAGTGTCCAGCTCCTTGTTTGGGAGGCAGGGAAGGAGCTACAAAAGCCACAGGTGAAGATTTTCTCACCACCTCTTGCCTGTTTTCACAAAAGCTATGGCATATTAGTGCCTGCCTTGGATTCTGATAGCTAAAGACTAAGGAGAGATGTGGAAGAGATTGCAAAAGAGAGTTGTGGAGGAAGGTGGATACAGGCTAGTAAGAGCTACTGCATCTGGTCTAAGTGTGTTGGTGTGTTTGGTGCCCTGAAGTGGGTACACTGTTAAAGTCAGAAGTTAAGGTAAGAAGGCTGATATCTGGCGTCAAAGCAGCTAGCAGCTGGAAAAAAATTGCTAAAATGAAAAATAAATTCATGTTTAACACAGAATAAGGAGATGTACTACTGTATTTTTTAAGGAGTAATGAAAAAAATTTTCTTTGCAGTAGCCAAGAAGAGTTTTCATGCATGCAAGTACATGATTGGCATCCCATAAGGGCTGTATCCTATAGTTAGGCTCTTGGAGTAAGAAAGATTTCTACTATTTCACCATTAATAAATGTAAAGACTAAGAACAGACCTGCCTTGGCTAATTTTAACAGTCTGAATGAAACCTACTGGTTTTCCTGATTTTGTTGTTGTGACTCCAGAACCCTCAGAAAGGCAAGCAAGACTGATCTTAACAATTTGCAAAGGCAAGCCTCCATGTAATTTTTGCAAAGGTCAAATGATTCAAGAATTTGATGCAAAGTGCAGCTGTGATCTGTGTGAAGACAAGGCCTTGAACTTTTAAAGGCTTAATTCTCACACAGCTGTTGACTTCAAAGAGTTAACTGCTATTGCCTGTAATACCCTTTTTATCTGTGGCCTTCCTTTCCAGTGATTTTCCATTTACGCTGGAGATTATCTCAATGCACTATGTAAGCTTCAAATCAAGAGATTAATCACTTCATCAGCCTTCATTTTTGGAGGATTGTTTTCAAATTAAGACAGACCTTATATTATTTTAACCTTGTTACTGTTTGCATGTGTAGGGAAACAGCTTGATAGCACTGATCTTCAAGTTTATATAAGCATGAACTGTCCCAGATATCACAAGAAAAATGTTTCAAATGTTATCTATCGTGTAAGATCTTGAGTTCTAAAAATACGTATGTAGCACTTGGGTTTGTTTTTTAGGTGTCATTGAGGTAACATGACACATGAACTATCACTGCAGCTGAATTATACTTCAGCTTGCCTATTCAAATTGATCTATAGTCACTGATATAGGATTGGTAGTTGGTGTTGTCAGACTACTCACAGTCTGAAAGCAGAGTTGGTAGCCTAGGGGAAAATCTGCTGGAAGTGTACTTACTACTTGTGCTCTGTGGGCATTAGTTTTAAAGCACGTGTTATGAAGTGTTTGAGATGCACATGTATGACATGTTTGGCTGTCATTTACTCTGATATTCTTCTGAGCCAGGAATTCTTAGCTTAGACAGACTGAATATGGGTGAGAACTAAAAGTCTGAGGCAAGATCTCTTTGGGAGTGATCCTACCAAGCTAGAGGAACTAACAGATAAGTGTGGAAGGGATAATAGCTCCCCCTGCAATTTTGGATACTTGCCTGTCCTTTGTAACTCACATCTTGCAAGTTTTTTTGCTCGTTGGTACTAGATAAATGTACAAAATTGTGTTTATGGACAGTTTTTGTTATCAGTGTGCAGTAAAGAAGTAACAACTTGGTCTTTCAGATGCAGGCTTTGCAGCTAAAATCTCCTCTAGTCTCAAACTGAAGCTTTGTTACCAGAGCACAGTGTTACAGAAGTTATAGTTCAAAACTATTTGTGATACTGAATGGCTCCCAGAGGAAAGGGAACTTCCAGCTCACAAACCAGATACGTGTCACAGTTTCATTTTTCTGTTCTTGGTGGTTGTATACTTTTTTTTTCATGCAGTCACTGAAAAGTATTTTGGAATGTGGTAAAACTCACAGCTTTGTAAACAGGCAGTACCTAAATTGTGATGAACAGAATCAGGTAGTTGAAGTTGATGCAGCTGAAAAGTAATCTGGTAAAAGAATAATTCTATTTTAGCCACATCAGATAACCACATCGTTAGCTATGGAGAAGTAGACAATCTCTTAATTCTAGGAGTGGGGTGGATGTAGACTGGGTTATGTTTCTATGCACAACCCTTCCCATTGCAAATGGCCACCACTGAAAAGATGCTAAATTTAAAGTACAGCTAACTAGCTGTTATTCTACTATTCCCTCTCTGATGAGAATAAACATGTGGGAATGTCTGGTATCTCTTTGAGATAATATACTACCCAATATTAAGAAGCCCTTTACTTTTGATTCAGTATCAAAGAGGACAAAGTTATCAAATTTCTTGTGATTTTAACTAAGCTTGTTGTTTTTTTTGATTGACATTTCCTGTCCCCATTACTTACATTTAAAGGCTGTTTCAGAACCTTCATATGTGATTAGAAATTTCCAACCAGAGCTCCAGTATGAGTTTATGCCTATTTTGTGCACACAATATCGTGTTTTAGCCTAAACAGATCTTTTCACTTTAGGATACATCTGTCCAGATAGTTTTGTAGTGGGTGATTCTGTCCACCCACAGCTTTTCTTACACTAGATGGAACTAGCCAAGCTCCAGACTTCTCTTACAATAGAATGGGGGTCTCCATTTACCTAATCATGTTGCTATCCTTTATCCATATCTCTTTTGTTTTTTAATAGGCAGGGACAGAATTGCGTACAGTACTTTTGATAAGGCCTCAACAGTGCTTTGTACTATAACCCCCTACTTCTGTATCCCATGCACCTCTGTATTTGTAGGTTGTCCCTGCTAGGACTATCATCTCACCTGATACATCCTGTAATTCCTTTTGCCTTTTGACAAGCATATTACATTTGTATGTCAGGCAAGTTTATAAAAACAGAACAATGCCCTGTCAGGGTGCAGATATAAAAACAGAGATGTAGAAAATAAAATCTAGTCTATGTATGTTCCACACATGTGGCATCAGTTGATACACAGCTGTGCTTGTGTACAAAGAAACCCCTGAGAATTATGCCAAGCCCTCCGAGGACCCAGATTTCCTCAGCAGTCTGTGAAGGGCTGGGGAGCTCATTAAGGTAGCAGAAAGGCTCAGTGGCAAAACTCCCTTTTTCTCTCAGATCTCCACGCCAACGTGCAGCAGCATGTGTTCTGAATACTGAATGTAGAAATAGGTTCTAATTATAACGGAGCACAAACCTAAGAAATTAAAAATGTACTAAATATAGCTGCATTAATGTTTTAACAGACTTTTGAGTATATACACAATGCAGTACATTGTTGTCACTATGATTTTCTGCCTCTGTGTTTACAGGCCCTGTACATATTCTAATATTCCCTGAAAATATGCAGAGTGCAATAATAAATAATGTTTGGAAGAAAGAAATCCCTCACGACTTTTGCCAATTTAATTTATACCCTACAAGAATAAGATTTAATTACCCTTATCTTAATTGTCCTTAATGTGGTATGCACAGTAACTGCAGGTATTATCAGCCATAAAATTATTCAGCCACAAAATTTACCTAAACTGCCCAAAGCACTATTTTCCATACACCTATATCAGTTAGAAATGCTTTTATTTAATTTATTCTAAATTCATTGGGCATAATTTTTATTAGATGAATTCCTTGTTTTGCTGATAAGAGACATAAAAGTCATTATTATTTTGTGGAAAAGGTTACCATAGTCTATGGCTGTGGAAACAGCTTATTTTTTAAATGCCTGTACTGCTTTCACTCACCTTGTGTCCATGCAGAAACATCTTTTGTTCATAAAACTGGAATTAACTTCAGGGTTTTGAAAAACTGGGTCGAACATATAGAACAGTTTTAGCTGCTGCTTGAACTTTGAGCCTAAGCTTTTCTATCATGGAGTTTTTCTATTATGCCCCCCCCTTTTTTTTTCCCCTAAAATTGTGTTTCCAGACACAGTATTCAAAAAAACCAAGCCCTGTACTAATTGCATTCCATGTTCTATGCTTTTTCTGATCTTGTTTACACTTTCAGCAACTGCATCAAAAGCGTGCTTTGTTCCTGTATTTGTGTTCTTCTCTGTGATCCTTCCCATATGAAATTCAGATTTTGCCAGACTCTTTTGGCCAGGTGAAACCTCTTACTTGTGAGCTTTTCTTTCCAAGAGAAGCCTCATGTTATTTTTTTTTATTTTTTTTTTCAATGAAATATATCTAGTGAATTATGAGGATCAGATTTGAGCAGCTGAGGAAAGAATGCTGAAAAAACCCACAAATATAAAAAAGAGGAAGTTGAAATACATCAGAGAAGAGCAGAAACCCAGAGTATTTCTGGAAGCAATTAAAGAGTTTGCTTTATGAAAAGTAAAGCAAGGGAGATGTTATTGTAAGAAAAAATATTTTCTGCCAGAGGTTTGGTTTCTGGCATCAACTTTTATGTACACACACAACTAAGGAGAACTTTTCTTGGTGGAAAAGTTTTCCTCCTTGGTGGAGGCAGAAAGTGAACTACAAACAAGCTATGACCTTAAATTCATCAAAAGGATTTTAAAGGTGAGTTTTTTCCTTTTTTTTTTCTTTTTCTTTTTTTTTTTGTTTTTGTTTTTGTTTTGGAGATTCTGAAGGTTCAAACATCTGGGTTTATTCTACTTTCTTTTCTTTATCGCAGGTCCACATGTGGTACTGGCTTGTAAGGTATGGTTTGGTTGAGGCTGTGGCAGAGCTGGTTTGGGAACACTTTAGGGATCACACAGAAGTTGACCTTGAGACAACGATCTTATGCAACTTAACAAAAATAACACAATGATTTATTGAACTAGAAGTGACTTTCACAGAAAAGCTATCTTATGAATTCCATTTGTCCTCTGCTACAAATTTATGAGTGGTATCACAGGTGTTTTTATAAATACATAATCCTGGGCAATCAATCTATGTAATTGTAGTATAGGTCAATCTACCTTTCAAACATTCCTTCAGTATTTTGGCTTTTGTATACTTTTGGTTTTTTAGCACTTCCAGCTTCCTGTTCCCAGAGACATTCGGAAACAAGTAGTTGTAAAGGTAAGCAGAGAGCTCAGTGTTCAGTGAGTAAGGTTTTGGAAATGTTTTTGTAGTTTACTCATCATGAAAAGACGAGTGACAGCTTTTAGCATGGTTTCTAGTGATACATTTGATTACATTATCAATAACTGCATAGTAATGGCTTCCCACTGTTTCTTTCCAATGTAGGTAGTTGCTGGTGGTGCTTTCTCGTGAAAGAAGAGGAAAGATGGTTATCAGGAAAAGCTATTAGAATGTAAACCAAGAGAAACTCAAAAAATCTCTCCTTTTTTGCATTACAATGCTACTTGTTTCAGACATTCAGAAAAGCTGCTGACTGACTGCTTTGCTTACTCTAAGCATTCCTTTAGTTCTGTAGATTAAATAAATACATTGTTGCAAAGCCTGGGAAAGTGATTCTTTTTCTTTTTTTCTTTTTCTTTTTCTTTTTTTTTTTTAATAATTACAGAAGAGGGAGTTGGATCAGAACTAGTCATTCCCCTGAGAAGTTACACCTCCAGAATAATCTTGCAATGTAATAAGAAACAAAAACAAAACAAAAAAAAAAACAGAACACAACAAATCCAGAATGAGTGATAATTAACAGAGCTAGTTGACATGCTGTTCTTTAAAAGTTAAAGACGTACGTCAGTTGGAGACAGGATATCAAATATCAGTAGGAGAGCAGCAGGAAACTTTTCCAGTGGATGAAAGGGATAAAAAGAAGAAAAACAAGCCCTGGTTGTGCCAGCAGCTGACTAGGCTCCTGACATACTCGAAGCACAGACGATTGTAACAAATACCAGAGAAAACAGTATCTTCTAAACAAAAATGCTGCTCACTTTGAAACTTTAAAGTCAAGATAAAATTGTGAATTGCAGACTAACATTGAGGCAGTGGATACGTGGATCACAGTGAAACGAAATGTTGCAACCTGCTTGCAAAAGATTTTCTGCTGTACGCTGGGTGAACCTCAGTCCTCAGGGACTGTGGGCTGGGAAGGCTAGCTGACATAGAAATGCAAAATTCCAGGGTTCCACAAGAACCAGAGGCATTATTCCTGTGGAGGGTGGGGTGAAGCTGGAATGAATATTCTTTCCTTTTCACATGTTAAAAGCTTTGTGGAAACAAACCTGAAACTGGTGCATCTTCAAGTGTAAAGCCTGTTGCACAAGCCAAACCATCTTAAAGAAAACATGAGAAAAATGAAATTTAGGAAAGCTCTTAGCAAGACATGATGATCCTGTAGTAGCAGCTCTTATGACCTTCTTGCTTCCTGCTTGTGGTCAAAGCCAGCAGGAGCCAGGGAAGCAATTCTCCCCTGCAGTCCTCTGTGCTTCTGTGGTTATTGAGCCCTAAAACCCTATGGAGGGAAAGACAGAGATTTTGGCAAAGTCTGGCCCTTTCCCCTTCATATATTTGCTATCTTATTATATTGTATTTATTTTTTACCATATTATCATTTTACCTTTCAATGGGAATGCGTAACTTTATTATCCTGAAACTTGAAATGTAATTTAATTAATGTTCCAAGCTCTCCCTTAACAGAAATATAAATGAAGTGACTAATTCAGCAGTTTCCCATGCTTAGCAACAGTTGCAAACAGAGAAGTCTGTAAAAGATATTTCCAGCCTATGATTAAATATCAGGTTGTTCTGAGCTGTTCTTTTATGCCCACTGCACTTCTTTGGCAAGTCCCCTAAATTCAATGCCTCAGGAGTAAATAAAATCTGTAGGATAAATAATGAAATAAACCGCACTGAAAACAGTAAAATCTGTAGGACTTTCAAAAGCAGCCTGAGACGGTGACCTACAGCTTGTAGGTTCAAGAACGGAAATACGAGCCTGTCCCTCTGAAAGTCAGATTTTGCTTCTCTACAACCCCCTTCAGAGCAGGTTCCAGGATGGAACTAAAGGGGGTGCAACCAGGGCCTGGGCACACTTACAGACTTTCATGGCCTACCTGCACGCCTGCCTTCATGGCCTGCCTGCCCTGCTCCTTGGTGGGGATGGTGGGATAAGCCTTGCCTGCCTGCCACCCCATGGGAGCACACAGAGCCCCCAGCCCCCAGGGCACTGCACCCCAAAAGGTGGATGGAATTTGCACCCTTGCTGGGTGAGGGGTGATGGCAGTGAGGGAGCAGCGCTCTGCTCTGAACTTTAATCCAAGCACATGTGACTGTATGGACGTACACAGCCTGTCTCACTTCATTTGGCTCCTAATGAAGTAAATGGTGGTGGTTTTCCTGGTGACGGCAATGGAAGCTGAACAGGCTGCTCAAAGGTCTGCTCCTCTGGCGTAACTTATTTTAACCAGGCTGGTACACAACAAAAGGAGGAGACCACAAGGAAACAGTAATTGGCTAGAAACCAGAAAAACCCAAAAGGCAATGAAAAAAAACAAAACAACCCACCCCCCAGACAAAACCGCCTAAAGAAAAACAACAAGAGCAACAACAGGCAAAAAGCAGCATGTCTATTATAAAACAAAAAGGATTGCTTTGGAAAAAGAAAATGGCTGCAGAGCCATGGACTAGTTTGGGGTGCAATTGCTTGTTCCTTGGACAAAATGCATCTCCTTCATTAAGCAGCTAAATACTCACCCTCCACCAGCCAGAAAGGACCAAAGCATGAGAACACTACATGAGAAACAAGGCAGGGGGATCAAAAGAAATTAAAAAGAGGCAAAGTCTGAGCAGAGGGTACTAAACTAGGTTATGGTAGTCAATTTAATCCAGAGAAACTAGGATTACATACCTTTCAAAAGTGAAGGGACTTCTCCCTTCTACCCATCTGAGAAGTGGCTAATGTAGAGACAAAACCCAAACAAGCTACTTCATCAGCAGCAACAGAACAGATAAAAGTTTAGCTTGACTATCCTTTCTTTCAGAGAGAAAGAATAGTGATTCTTTCCATCTGTTCAGTAATTCCCAGTTACAGGATTTAAAACTATCTTTGGTATTAAAGTCCCAGTGAAAATTTAAAGTTGCTCCTCCTCAAGTTAAGGGAGGACAGACACAAAATCTGGTCACATTAACCTTAATTCTGTGGGAAATAAGCTATAAACAAAGATGGAGATAAAGCTTAGTAAGGCTTAAGGAAAAGATGCATACAGGGGCACCAAAAGAGCATCCAGCTTGTAGTCTACTGGGCACACAGACCTTAGTCCACAAACTCAAATACTTATGAAAAGGATGCAGTAGTATTGCCCAGAGGCCTCCTAGTTATCTATAAACTTGATGTGAAGGAACTGGATATAAGCATGAGAAAGCAGCATAATTTCTGCATAACATCTATGTTTTTTCAGTCCTTGACTTCTTGAGACTACCAGGAAAGTTGTTTGGAACGGTGATTTTGTGAGGTAGCCACTTGAGTGATTTTTTCTCTCATTGACACAGAAATAAAACAATTTCCTGTTCTCTCCCTTTACCTTCTCCCCTTCATCTCCCCTCTTCACCACCCTTCTTTGCCTTTCTTTCTTCTTTATTATTGAGTCAGGTAGAATGTGAATTGGCAATCATTTATGTGTGATACCCATACTCTCAGTCTCTCAAAATAATTCTGTGCACGTTTTTCAATTGTTTTAATTTAGTTAAGCTAAATCCTCTCCCTCTTTTTATGCTATAATGTTGATTAGAGGTTTTGCTAGAGACTATAGAATGGCATTCTGATAGTACCTTAAAAACAGGAAAACAGTATTCTAGGCTTCTTTTACAAGCTTGCAGAACATTTAAGTACATGTTTGTTATTGTCTTTGTTCACCGAGGGTGTGTCAAATTGCTGAGATTTATGACTTCTCTTCATAGGAGGATGTTTGATTAGTCAATAAAATGTTAGAAAGCCTTAAATTTCCAAGGGACACAAAAGCCATTTAACAGTTCCTCTTATATTGCTGCAGGTGAATTTATTCTTGCATGCAAGGCATCCTGAAACTGCCTAAGTAGGCTCTCTTTGGGTAGTTATACAGATGTGTATTTGTTGTCCTTGAGGAAAAGCTCCAGGATATGTTAACCACTGGACCTGTGTACAGTTCAAGTTTAGTCAAGGATTAGTCAACTTTTAATTACTCTTCATATTTTAAAATACAGATACATCTATTAAAATGAATGCAGACGCTGGCCTTAATTATGTTTTTTTTCTGCTTTATTTAACCTGCATTTTTTGAGCAGTGTAATTAGTACTAATACTTTATCCATTCTTTCTTTACACCCAGTGGCTATAATGTTTTGCAAATAGCCCTAAACAAATGTACAGTTTAGCCCTACCAGCATGGAGAATTTGCAGAATTCCTTGCTGAGCTGCTCATTCTGATTTAGCACCTGCTTAAGCATAAGCATGATTTTGGTCCTACTGACTTAAGCAGGTTTTAATCAGGTTTTGTCTCTCCACTGCACTGAGATTAATTAACATGCATATAGATTAATTAACATGCATGTTTAGGCATTTTTTTTTAGTTTGCTTATGCTTCCTGCAGGACATGTAACTGGATAACTACCCATGGCATTTGAGCCTGCAGTTCATGGACTCTGAGCCAGACACAGCACAGAGGAAAGATACCTGTGCTTTCATCTGATGTGGCCTTGGAGGTAACCAAGCCTGGCGGCACAGAAGTCCAGGCTTCCACTAGAAACTTCTGAGGTTTACAAGTGAAATCCTGAAAAGTTGAAAGAGCTGGAAACCACTAAGCTATTTTTACATGTAAGCACATCTGTTACCACACCACATTAGGCACTGCACCACTCCAATGTTGGAAAAAATAGGGGTTAGATAGTCAGGAACTAGGTTATCACATGGAATGTTTCAAATAAGTGTCACTAATTGGCAGCCTACTAGAAAATTAAGCCATAAAACTGCAATGAGCGTTGAAGCTTCTACTCTGCTATTGTATGTAGCTTTCAAAATATTCTTGAGAAAGCTAAAACCTATTATTCTTGCAAGCAACTTGCACAAGAGAAGGGTTTTTACCATTTCAACAACATACCCAGCAGTATCCATCTTGGAGAAATTTGTAAGCTGTCAAGATTTTTATAAAATGATCTATTTCAAGCTAGTCTTCACCAAGATTAAAATGAAATCTGTTTATAGAGTACAATAAACACATGACAGATCTATCAATTTTCTGTGTCGAGAGTTGTTGCTGGTAAATCAATATGGATGCTAGGGCACCAGACACTTTAAAAATCGATGTAATAAATAAATAAAGAGTTGAATTACAGTTTAACACTGTGTGTACAGAGATGTGATTCATCTTGACACAAATAGTACATGCTGGATAATCAACAGAGATGACATTCTTTAAAAGCACTGAAGAAAGCTTGTGATCAAAGGATTGGACTGGAAGTAAAAAATTATTTCCAGGCCTGCTACTGACTGGTCTAATAGCAGATTTAACCTTCTGATGACTCAGTTTTTGGATTTGTGACATTAGAACAATAGAAAGTATTTTGAAACTCTCTGCTAAGGAAAATGTTATTAAAATTAATTATGGCTATAAGATATACACTTCCCATTTATAATCACATTTATGCAATGAGTTCCTCTGAAGCAATTACTGAATTACTGGGTTTGGAAAGCAGCCAGGAGAACTGTACCTGGGAAGTTAAAACTGGTTCTGAGCCTGATGCTGCTCTTTCCTTTATGCTTTCTTTTTTTCTTTTTTTTTTTTTTTTTTAATGAGCTTGAAAAGCATCCAGCACTGACCTAAAGGCAAGAAAAATGTAGGAATAAATGAAATGGCACAACCTGGTTTCTGATTAGCACAAGAAGGAAAAGAGAATGGCAGAGCAGTGAGGATAAGCAGGTCAAACAGGCTGCATAGTCAGTATACAAGCCTGGGAGAGATCTAAAGCACCCTGTTTTCTTCAGTTCAGTGGGCACATCTACTGTCAGCCTTAGAATAATTTTAATTTAGCATGGTGTACCTAAAAAATATCAAACATTAAGAGAAAACACATTCTTTTTATTCCTGGGTCCTTACTTGGAGTAACATCAGGTCTTTCTAAGAACAAGTCTATTTGTAGCCTGTGAACAATTTCTAGCCTGTGAGGAACCCACTGGGGTTCTTATTAATGCATTTCACAGTTTGTAGAGTACAGGTGTCAGAAAGGGGGGAAAGACAAAGAAGGAAAATAAATTTTCCAAAAAGAAAAGAAATACTATTGGAAACTTGAGAAAGAGACCCAGTCAGAAGGTATTTTCTGTGGTTTGATTAGGACACAGCAAATATTTGTAGGAAAGGGAAAGGAAACAGAGTGAGTAGCTAGCTATAACTTTTATTGAACTCGTTTTAAACGGGAATTAAAAATTCCCAGTGCATCATGCAGACAAGCAAAAAGGATGTGTCTTTATACCATGATCACAAAGATGATGGTGCTACTGCCTACGTGTTATTGGTTCTTTCATCTATTTGATAAATATTTAATTGTCAGAAGTTCAGTTTCCTTCATTCCCAAATAATCCAAGCACCACAACTGCTCCAACTTCCCCCCTTTATGTTTAAAATATACTCACACCCACCTTCTGGAAATTTAGTCAGATTTGGGTAAGTTAAGTTAGCAAGGCTTGCCAGAGTTAGCAACCAAAAGCTTCTAGTAGGAGTATTATGTTCAGCATCAGCTTTCAACCAGTTCTTGTTGAAATTAGCACACAAAAGCTGAAGCATTCAACATTTGGTATTTTATTTCAACAAAAATGTCACTTTGCCCTTCAATCCACAAGTAAGTCTTAGTTTATCATCTACCAAACTGCCTGTGCAGAAGTAGAGTGTACCATGTATCACATGCTTGATCAGATAGAGTGGTATCATGCTACTGTGGTAGTTCTAACTTACAGGACTGAACAATGTATAAAGGTGAGTGTACGTAAAGAATTTTTTTTTCCCAAACAAAAAGGGAGCTTAACTTTCCTTACTTTTAAAGAAGAAAAAGTAGAGTGGGCTAATGGAAGAAATGGGTAGGTCTGATGAGGTGAGATGGAGAAAGAAGATTTTAAGAGAGTGGTGAGTAAGTGTATTTAAAAGACAGATACAAAAATCACAGGAAAGAGGGTTATTAAATTTTAAACTTTTTTTTTTTTTTTTTTTTCCCAGGGAACAGAATTAAACAAAGGCAAGCTAAAAGCATATTGCCACAAGAAAGATACTCAACCTTTAGATCTGGAAATTTATGACATTTGAAATTTGATTCAGATCTGTGTATTCTTACCCTTTTAATCCTTTAATTAATTAATGTAGAGTAACATACCCTAGTAACACCAACCCTTAAACACTGCATTTTCACTTAAAATGAAACAGAAGGAAATTTTGGTTATTGAACTCTCACAAAGGTAAGATTCCTGGCTCTGAAGATTTTAACCACTAGGTCTGAACTGAAGTTTAGACGGAAGTGGACACTAAAGTTAATGATCATGAGGAATCACAGCAAATTAAAAAAAAAAAAGGAAGAAAATTAGTTGCAAAATAATTGAGAGAATATTCCAAATGTGTAATCATATCTGAGAAAAAAGGCATACAGGTGGGTGAATAAAGAAATATTTGGTTAAGGCAAGGTGTTCAACAAGAACAATAGGAATAGAAGTGATGATGCACTTAAATAGTGGGGTCCTGCAAAACCTTTCAGTGAGAAGATGACAATGATTCTTGGTGAAAGACAAGACATTCGCAAGTAGACGGTAGTGGGTGACACAATGGAAGGGTTACTATAGCACTGCACTTCTGAAGAGGAACTGTTGTCAGGTAAATGAGACCTAAAGCTGTAGAACTAGCTGGCTCCCTCATGGCATTGTTCATTTTGAGAGTAAATTACTCCCCTTTCCCCTGAACTGGGTCTATTTAAAGTAACAACTCTTCAGGGAAGAGACCAGCCACTATTCTGCTTGTGTAGCTCTTGTGTCTTAGCCTATCTTAATAAACTTGCTTTACAACAGAGGAACTTCTTGAGATTTCAGTATTTCCTACGTGGGAAGATCACAGAATGTGACGGGAGGCAGGTACTTGTAGGAATATTAAGGGCAGCATTAAAATATTTCTAAAAGAGGGAACATTTGTTCTTTTTTAAAAAAAATAAAATTATTTCTTTTTCTTCTTGATTGGTAAAATGCTGTGGTATAGTCTGGGCTCTTTTTTTCCTGAAAACAACTTCAAGGCAGGGAGTTTTTCAGCCTAAAACGAAGAGTTTAACTGTTCTGTACCGCTCATGAAAAAGACAATCTTGACGAAGCCGCCTAGATCAGGGCGGGCGGTGGAGCGAGCCTTTCGCAGTGCCCTGAGGTACCACAAACAGTACCAAACGGCAACCGGCTGGAACTGGAGCAAGGTATGCACCCTGCAGGGGGGCGGGGGAAACGACGACGGTTGGCGCAGAAATTAAAGGCAAAAATTAACCGCAGCAGATAACTCAAAGCCTGATTACAATCAGTCGCTCTCCCGGTGATTGACTGGGCGGTGCCGGCCGCATTCCTTCACGCCCAGCAAACCTGGGGGCCGCTCCCCCTCCTACACGGGAGCTTTCATCAACCCCCTCCACAACTGCCTCACGACCGCAGGCTGCGCAGGCGGGCGGGCGGGCAGGTGAGCGGCCCAGGGCAAGAAGAGGGCGGTCACCGCCCAGCCCCGCCCGCTGTCCCAGGCTGCTCCGCGCCGCAGCCGGGGGGAGGTGGAGCCGTTTTATCGAGAGCCCAAGTGGAAATTTCCCCCCTCAGTTGCCGGGTCCGCCGTGGAAGGGACGCTAGTGAGAGCTGCTTGTCCTTGTTACCCTGTGCCGCGTCCTCTCTGCCCGCCCGCCGCTATGTCCAACTACATCCACGTCCCGCCCGGCTCCCCGGAGGTGCCCAAGCTGGACATCACTGTCAGCGAGCGGGAGGGGCCCGGCTACCGCCAGGGCGCCCTCCAGCTCCTACGCCGCCTGCGGCCCCACTGGAGACCCGAGGAGGTGACGCTGCAGGTACGAGGAGGCCGGGGCTCCGAGGGGCCCACGAGCGGGTCATGCGGCAGCCTCAGCTTGAGGAGGAAGGGAAGAGAGGGAGAGCGAGAGGAAGGAAGGGGGGGAGGGTGGGCGGCCATTGTGTGGGGGAGCTGCCGCCTCGCTTCCTTCCCCTCCCCCTCCCTCGTCGCTCTCCGATTGCAGCCCCCTGCGCCGAGCCCCATTTGCCAGGCAGCCCGGCGGCTGGGCGTGTCGGCGCGGCAGCATCTCCTGCCCTCTCCCGGCGCTCCTTCCTCGCTGCTCGGTTTCCTCTTCCTCCTTCCGTGCCCTCCGCGCTGAAACTTAACTCCCCTTGTTAGTGGAGGGCAGCGCTCTTCCCCCCGCTCTCGCTAGGCCACCCCGCCGCCGGCCCGGGGGCTGAGGGTTGCGGTGTCGGCTGAGGGGAAAGAGGTAAACTTCGCTCTCGGTGGGTCTTTGCCGAGCAGGGCGTGTTCGTAACGCGGTAGGGGACTCCTACCTCCTCCTTGGGGCAGAGAAAGGCAGAGACAGCCGGAGGGGAAAGAGGAGAGGAGGGGGCTGGCGGCTGCTGCCATTGCTGTTGATAACGGACGCCGAGATAACGGCCGCGGGGCTGAGGTGCTCCATTGGCGGGCTCCCCCCGTGCCCTCTCAAGTAGTGAATAAATAAGTGTAAATACAGGCCTTGTATTCGCTGCTGGATTTGGGTTTAGGCTGAGGATATCGATATCAACCCCGTTAACGGTCTTAACATCTTTTAGTCGTGACCATATGCAGGAGTATCGCCACTTAGTCTGTGGTGTTCTCTAGGTGAGCCATCATTTGTATTTATGACGAGTCATCTGCTCGAGGATTGGCTGCTTTTGTGCTTCTAGAATATACTTAACCTGGCCCCGTACAAGCCTTCAGTCAGTTTACCTGGCTAACGCAGCCTTCGGTTGTAGCCTGCATTTAGTTGAGTGTTTTATTGTATGTTCTTAAACTCTGTTATTCAGCAGTTACTAATAAGTGGAAGAGTCTTAAGTTAGTCAAGTTCCTCTGAAGAGAGCTGCTGGAACTAATTTATATAGGAAAACTGAGCACATTGAGGTAATAGCACAAACACTGACTGAAATTTTCTGAAGTTTGTTGGTAGGAAAAGGAACTTGAGATGTAACAGTCCAGTTAGTATGACAATAAAGTTAATGAGGTTTTTCTAGGTAACTTCTTTGAAGGCTGAGGCCATAAGTTAAGCAGAGTCCCAACATCTTGAGATGTAATAAAAATAGCTTTACAACATGTAATACTAAGGGTTGTTAGGATCAGTAGAATATTTTGAGTTGGAACGGACCCATAAGGTTCATTAAGTCCAACTCCCTGCTCCTTGCAGGACTGCCTGAAGTTAGGCATGGTTTTGTTCACTTCTCAACAGAATATTTTACCGTCATACAGGAATTCTAATAAATGAAACAAACATTTTCTCAAGGAGGGATAGCTCTAACATTTTGAGAAAGTTCTAGTAGGTTTAAGAAAAAAAAAAGGTGCTTCCTTCCTGTGGCACCCTCTTTGGAAGAAGCAATTAACAGAACAAAAACCACTGGTACCACTGGTGTAGAATAAGGGTTAATGTGGTCATGCAATAGTAAAGTTATTAGACTACTGTCTGTGATTATAGGATTCTGTCTAAAAATTGTCTGAGTGCTGCTTAAACCAGATTATTTTATGACCAAAACTTTTCAACTCCCTTTATTTAATTTTGCTCTCTTTGAACAGCAGAAGAGCATCCTGTTCATGAAGCTCATCAGTGGCCTGTTATTTTTAACTCTAGTCTGTGTTTAAACCACTGTGCATACATAACAAGCAAGAATGCATGTGGTTTGAAACTAGTTGTATTATCACCATTGCTGCTGCAATCTGTTACACAGGCATGTTACACATACATCACGCAGCTTGATGCTAAAATGAAGGATGACTGTTTTCAAGAGGATGGAGTGAACAGAAGGTTGGCCTTGGAGTCCCCATACTGGAGAGCCATGTGTTTAGGGGGAGATGAAAGTGAAAATCATTTATTGCATGGAAAATATGCTTGACTAATCTGAAACAGCAGCATCACAGCAAAGTAGACAAAGAACATTGATAGGTGGAACTAACTACTGCTTCCTCTGTTGAACTCTCCTGTTAGCTACCTTTGCACTTGGTACTTCTTGGGTCAAACCAGTTAATAAGAAGTTGAAGAGTCCAGAGTTTGACTTTAAAAAGTTAATTAACTTCTCTTGTAAAAGTTTACTGTTGAGTGTCAAATTGCTTAGTCAGCTAAACAATTCTGTAACAGTGTAGTTAAAAAATTTTAGTGCTTAATCCTTGCTTTCTGTAAGGTAAGTATCTGAAGTCATGAATATATTTCTGCATTTTCAAACATTTGCATCATAGCATAGAGCTAGCATAGAACATAAATGTATCACTATTATTTTCATTGCATTATTTATCAGGAAGTCCATAGTGTCTGTAAGCATTGCCAGTTATTTGCTGGATCACAAGCAGCTCTGCTTTATCTCCTCTGTCTGAAGCTATTGGTGAATGTTGTCTCTACAGTACAGTACAAATATTCAAGTTATCATACATTAGTAAGGGAAAACAAAGTTTTCATGTCTGAATATTGATCTTCATGTGGATACTTCATGCATTTGTCATCTGAGGAGGTGTTAAGAGCTGAGTAGGACTGTTATATTTTCTAGGGTGTTATACCTTATGTTTATAGGGCATTATATTTTCTAAGTCTTAAATTCTTAAGGTTTGCTTCCTCTGCTTTACAGTAATACAAAGCAATGTCGTTAAAACTATTCTTTTTCAGTAATCACTTTTGGTTCTGATTTTAGTAATAAAATTGTAGAGTTGTTCAGGGTGGAAGGGATTTCTAGAGGCCTTTCTCCCAGTCTTCTGCTGTAGAGCTCACTGCTTGCTAAATCCTGAAGTGGGTTGAATTATGACAGTGGACATGCCAATTTTTGTATTCTGGACAATTCTTTATTAATCAAATATAAAGATGTAATTGTTAAACTCTTAAAGAGGTTGTATCACCCTTCTGATGAAAAACAAATACAATCACAGTTTGGAATTTATTGCAACTTGATCTGTTGCCCACCTTAAGAACTTTGTTTTTCTTGTGGAGGTGCGTTTTGGAGGGAGGATCTGTATTTGCTTACAGTATGGGAAGCTTAGTTACCATTTCGGTAAGTGTGGATTCAGGAATCTTTTATTTCATGACCTATTTTACATCTGGGAGGTCTGGTCATAATGAAGGATTTAGTAAGTTAATACATAATATCCTTTTTGCAGTGTAATGTTATGGTGCAGGAAAAAAAACCCAGTATTCCATTTTGAAGTAATTTCTAACATGTATTCTAAATTCTTACTGAGAATAAAGGCTGCTTGTTTTCATTGGTAAAAAGGCTTAGTATTAATATTTTAATTGAAACCATTATTTGGTTAGACCAGCAGAGATATATCAGAGATACAAAGTGGTAAAAATGGTGCGCTAGCAAACAGTGCTCTTGTCCTGGCCCAAACTGGGAGAAGTTTGCAAAAGAGATAAATTCCTTTAATAAGACTTTTCTGAATCCTGCAAGCTACTTTTATCTCCAGATAAATGTAATTAACTTTGGGTTTTTATTCTCTGAAGTAATTGGACCTTGCTTGTTTTTTGGTACTGTCTTTGTTGTTGACAAGATGTAGGTCTTTGGATTTATCAACACTTTGCATGACTTTAGTACTGTAGCATTTTTATAATTCTTTGCAAAAATTTGTTTCTGTAGCTATGAAATGTGAAGGTACAAGACAGGGCCATGCTTACAAAGAATTGTACTTTCACCATCAAAACAACACCTTCCTTCCCCCCTCCCCCTTTTTTCTCTCTATATACCAGGTTAGCTGTTTTCCCTTTTTGCGTTTTCTTCCTGACTTACACTAACTAGCTTTTCCTCAGGCAGTATTTTCTAGCTGCTGCTCTAATTCCTTTGCTTGTGTTGATCCTGGTATTTTCTGTGTAACAAACTGATTAGGTTCAGATTTCTGAACTAGTTAAAATACTTCATAGTTTAAACAGACTGAGTGTGGGATTTGAAGCATTGAAATAATTGAGTGAAAACAGAAAATGTCTCCGGGAAGGAAACTAACTTTTTTTTTTGTATCTCAGTGTAATTATTTTTTTCAAGAGGTTTTTTTTTTTTTTTTATTGCTTACCTGTTTTTTAGGGCATCACACTCTTAGGCAGTTGTGGAAGTAGTTAAGCCTATAAAGAGGAGGGCATGAGTTCACTGGCTAACCTTCCGAGGAGCTAATAAATCTAAGTGGAGAAGTGATGAGTGAAAGAAAGAATAAGAAAAGATAAAGAGTTGCAGAATGAGCCTCATTGCTGATGTGTTGTGGAAGAAATAAAATGTAATTTGAGATCTGCCTTGAATGCAGTGTTACAGGAGGTGGGAAATGTAGGCAGTGTTAGATACTATGGAAGGGTGGGTTGGTTTCTCCATTCTTACTAAACTACTGTTGAAGTTTGGTAATCTCAATCCCTTGTAAAGGGTTGATTTTGTGCTGCCAGTGGGTGGGGCAGCAATTGTGCATCTGGTGATGTTTTATGTAATCGATATGCCACATCACAGTGCATGGGGTAATCCAGTTGTGCATGAAATAGGTGTTTGCATTGGTGACTGGCTCTAATTATAGAGAACTGGTATTTGCTTAGGCACAGCTTGCATCTGGCTATTTAATGGCATGTATCTTATGCTGTAGACTTCTAACAGCGGAAAGGAAGGTAGCTAGCAAAGATGTTCTAGTTCCTGTTTCCTCATTACATGGCCCTTTCAAATTTTTCAGGGGGAGGAGCAGCAAATCAGTTCTTTGATTTAGAATAACATTCAACTCCATTTCTATTTTCTTTCAAAATTTGGAAGAAAGACTTGGGGGTGTTGGTTGACGTGGAACTGAACATGAGCCAGCAGTGTGTGTTCACAGCCCAGAAATCTAAAT